GCAGGGAAGGTGTGAGGGTTGGCCGCGGTTGGGGTGGTGGTCGTTCCCAAGTCCGCTCCTCTTCTGCCGGGAATTCAAACTGCTCACAACACCCTTCTAGGTCACCATTTGCAATGTACTTGAAAGCCCTTCGCAATTCCAAATGTAATCCACGGAATGAGGTGTCATCGGCGGTGTTGCCCAGGTTCCTTGACGTATTGAACGGCTCCTCCACGCACAGTCGGTTGTTCAACATCAGATGCCAGCCCTTGGCTTCTTTGTTGATCAGGGTGCCGTCTCGTACCGAGATGACGTTCTTCTCGTAATCAAGTTCGTAACCATAATACCGGAAAAAATGGAAGAGCAACTCGCCAACTGATTGCTTGTTCTTGCGGCCAAATTGAGACAAGGTCTTGAGGTCGTCATCGAACGAGCAGACCAATCCGTCGTGGGTCACCCTCTTCTTGTGCGGACGTGCTTGCAGGCTTGGGAGGATTGGAGGGTTTCTTGTCTGTAGGAAATTAATAATCAAACAGATCCAGGTGTAAGAACTAAGGGTTCCCCCAAGTGCTGCATCATTGAGAATTCTTCGTTTCGTCCAGTGCTTGACAGTCATTGCCAAAGGCCGCACTCGTTCATCCACCTCAACATAGGTCCGAATCATTCGAGTGTTTTCTAGCGCCAAGGTATTATTGACATTCATGTCACAGGCTAATCGGAGTTCCGGGTCCCAAATCTTCACGATAGGGACCTTTGCGTGCGACACACACACCACGCGTTGCATCCCATCTGTTCAGGTCAGTCTGTCATTCAATCAAGCTGTATTAACGGTTATTTCTTACGTTTAGCCAATACCTCAGCCAACAGGCACACATGCTCCAATTCCTTGTAGTTGGTTGTGATGCAAATGTCCACTGCTCCAGTTAGTATTTGTGCCTTTTTATCGCTCTTGTGTCAAACAAAAAAAAGAGAAAACCTACCATCCGAGTCACTGGAACAGAGCTTGTTCCCTGACGAGCCAAAGATATTCGCCTTAATATTATGGCCAGGCCATTGCTCATTGAAAAGCTTCTCCAATTTCCGAACAAGTTGTCGTCGTCGATCATCACTCTCGGCAGATGGTAACAATCGATCATACAAATCCATGATCTCAGTCGACAATTTTTTCTCCTCGTCCGGGCTGAGTTGCTCCTTCAATGGCCCCTTCTCCTCCGGTAGTATATCTGCCCCTAAGCTATACGGTATCCGTCGTCGAAAATATGCCATGGCGGTCTCATATTTACATCCTCCGAGCGGTTTCCGGGAGAACGGGGGTAGATGTGTGGCCTCGGAGTGGGTTGATCGAGGGGAGGTGCTTCCGCGGGCGGGGGACGGCGACCGGGAGTGAAACGATAGGTTGCGCGCATGTTGGTATGGGGTGGAAGGAAGAGAATTGGACTGATGCGAAGTCAAGGGAGGTCGGGCGGTCTCGGGCGCGTCAGATTGCGGTACATTGGATTGCGGCATCCATGCCATCGTGGAGGGCTGTGCCGACGCTAGCGAGGCGACGTCACGGTGGAGGGAACACTTCGCATTCCCATCGATTTTTGCGACCATATAGCAATTCGCAACTCCCACACCGGTGTGGTCCGTCCGTACGGGGCTCGGCAAAAGAGATAAGAGTCCACTCCCACACACCACACAATATAATCCCCTCAGTTTCCGCTCAGTTGAAAATCACCGGAGGAATTTCGTTTATGATCGATAGCGGGCAAGCGAGGTTCTGGCACGTGTGTAACACGTCAAGGGTTCGTTGATATGTGGAACAACCGGAAAGCAGATCGTGGTGGGAGACTTTCAATCGCCCTCGACCAAAGTCGCGAAAAGCCGAATTTTTTTTTTGCCTTTCAGTCGGGACTGATAAAAATTGAAAAGATGTAAAAAGACAATGCCTCAACCAGGAGATGAAAATAAGACACGAAAAGAAGAAAAAAAAAAACGGTCTTCGTGAACGAGAAGAGAGCGGACGGAGAGACGTTCGAGGATTGGATCAAAGAAAAGAGACAAAAAAGGACCGAAGTACTGGATGAACCATACAGTCCGTTCTTTTCCCTTCAAGCAAATGTGTAGGAACCAGCCTGGGTTTCCGATTGTGAGAAAAAGGAAGCGTAGTCCAGAGAGGGGAATTTGAGAGGTGAAGATGAAGGTGTCAGCCCCTGTCGGCGGTAAAGACACTGCCGACCGTCCACCCAAGAACTCGGATCTTCACAACGTCAACGATTTTTATGGATACAGAAGTCGAGAAGATGGGTTTACGTAGGGTAGGTATGGGTATTTGCAAGTTCGAAGAGATGTGGTGAGAACGAATTAGCGTTAGAACGTTGGATCCCATGAAGACTATTTGGGGAATAGCTCTCTATCCTCATTTCTCAGGGCAACAATTAGGGGCTGATTTCCTTTCTTTCTCATATGATTTCTCGCGTATCTGTTTCTCACTACACACTCTTCATTCTTTCTTCTCAAGACCCTAGCAATGCCCCAAACCTGAAGCCAGAGAGCCAAAATTCGGCAAACCAGTGCCCGCAGTTATCACCGAGCTATGTATTCATGCAGGTACCATGACGACAGGTCGATCACATAGCGATGTTTGTCAAGCCCCCTGAACTACGTACTGACTATTGAGTAAATATATCAATTCCTAAGAAAAGCCTTATATGATCTATCTGTACTCTCCTTTTTCTCTCCTGATCGTCGTTCTTCACTTCTCCCCGCGATCAGCATGGTCCTTGCACGTGCTGCACTAGTATAACCTAATCCATGCTGGCCTAAGGCATAATTATGACACGTTAACTATATGCTGCTTTCAATGAAGTAGAATTCTATGGTTGTGATATTAAACCCTCGGTAGCCCAAGAACACTACTTCTTTGTTTACAATATGGCCCACCATTGGACTCCGCCAATACTTCCAGAGTTCGAACAGTGGCTCCCCGGATTTGATGAGGCTTGAGAGAGGATGAACCGTGTGAGATAACAGCCACTGGACTCTTCATCTCTAGGGCGAACCAAGTGTCAGTCGTGAGATGGTAGGCTTTGTTTATTCGGGCTAAGAGTCGCCACATTGGGATATGGGGCTTGTTTTGGCGTGTTTCTTTGTAGACAACATTAAAGTAGGCAACTTGGACTGTTTGCCACTCGGGACTAATATGGAGCAATTATTGGGATACCTTCAACTTGTGACTCTTAATATGGCCTCCTCTTGAATCAAACATCCAGCTAGTATGGCTAGGACCAGATCCGGCCGATCACAGTCCCATGTGTGACGAGTGGGGAGTTATTACCCAAGGTAACGCGGAGGCATGCTTGAGTATATTGTGGTGGTACATTTCCGGGGGGTTCGAAGGAATCTGGGAAAGTGTTGATACGGTACCTTCCTATATCAGCACAACAGGGCGGGGTTTAGGGGAGTTGATATCGAGTGAACTATAAAACGCAAAACCTCCCTTCTATCCTATATATTTGGGTACACTCGGTGCCTCCAATATCCTATCATAGAGTAGATTCATCCCAATCACAGAAATAGTCTCATGTACATGCGGGGGAGGACTCGGGCTGCTGACTGGCCCGTCGAGCCGGTTGAGTACATGAACATTGCAGCCCTAGAGCAGCCAATCCAGTTCAGAGGGGCGCGGACCTTGCGGAAGAATATAAAATGGTGGCCGACGGGACATTGCCCCACCTCTCCTGAATTGACCGAGTTGGTCAAAGCACCGTATAAACTGTATTCTGGAAGCAATGTTACTATTGCATCGCATCTACTCGCTTAGATAGGTATAGCTCCCAGTCTACTTTTAATGAGGATTTCAGAGGCCTATACAAGGCTCTCTACATATGAGCAGGTTGCAGCGGGCTATATATACTTATTGCAGGTCTTCTTACTTACCACTGTACATAAAGCTGCAGATCATATTCCAGATACGACTAGAGTGTTCACTTGTAGCCTCTGATGGCGTTCAAAGCCAGAGGGTTCTTGGCAGGCTGACTGCATAGTGCAGAGCCTTTGCAGTTTCCAGGGTTGGTATCATACGTTGACGTTGACTCCAGGGCTTGTTACGGGGGTAGTTTAGATCGGGTTATATGGGGAGAATCTCCCGGATTCTAAAAACTTAGAATCTTTTGAATCTTTGAATATTGTACCGAAAGTATACAGAAGTACGGAGGACATTAGGGCAACAATGTTTTACGAAGTTTCCATTGAACATTAATATAGCAAGTATACTAGAATGAAATTTATAAGACAAGTAAAAGTTGAATAATAAGTAATAGTAACAATCAGACACGAGGCAAGCTTGACGCTTAGGCACACGCCCCCATCCAATCTCCGGTGACCGGCCCCATCAGTGACGAATAAGGGCCTTTGGGTTGCCGGAAATTGCCGCGTACTTAAGATATTCGAACAGGAATTGGTATTAAAAAGCAATGGACTAGACGTTCTATTAGCAGAGAAGGTAGTCTACAAGACACTAATAGAAAACAGGTTAGGCATATAAGTGTTTAATAATGTTTTAAAAAAAGAAAACTCCTTTTTTTTTCCCGTATATTTTCATTTACATTACAATTTTATGAAAAGCCCCTCCATAAGGTAATACACACCCACATCCCCCCCCCCCCCATCTCTCCTTTTCTTCTCTTCATCCTTCCAATTTTTGGACCTCTGCCTCGTTGACTCGTGGTAGAAAGAAATACTCGGAGGGCTATTTCCCGTAAGTGCCATACTGTTTTTGCAATTGAAAATTCTATACCCCATATACCCCATTGAAAAATAGCGGAAAAAAAATACTCAAATTTTACCGAGACTGGGATCATTATTTTTTTTTACCCCAAAAAACTTGGTTACTTTCTTTTAATGTGTTGAAAGAACATTTGAAGATCTCCGGTTGTGTTGTGGATCGAAGCTCACATTTTTTTTTCTCGACAGATCGCCTCTGACCGGATCATCTTCCTTCCCCCTGAACTGTCGTACTTTCGATTTTGATCTCGACAATGTCTTCGTTCTACGAACCTCAGGGCTGGCAAGCACCCGCTGCGCGCCAGGTCTCTTGGGAGCAGCCGGCGCCTCCCTCCCGGTCAGGTATGGGATCAAACAGCCGAGCAACCCGGAGTCAAAAAAAAAAAACTGACATTTAAACAGGATCGAGTTCGGTCTCCCAGCGCGAGGATATCCCGGCCTTTTCCTCCCAATTTGACGGTACGAATACACTTTTACTTGGATCTTAACAATGGCTTCTCCAAATCCGAATCGCATAACGCCCCGGGGGAAAAGTTGGGGTTGAAGTGAGGCGGTTATGGAGATGACCCGGGCATACTTGTTTTTTTGGAGAGGGAACCTTTTGGGACGAGTGCTGATCTTTTTTTTTTTTACAGAGGTCGATCGTGCGATCGACAATCTCGTCAAGAGCGGGAAGTTGTGGAATGCTCCTCGGCGGGATTCGATGCCCATGATGATGGGCCGGCCCTACCCCGACTACGGTATGTTGCGGGCACGGATGGCACCCAGAACGCGTTTCTGACTTGTCTCTTGACAGACCCTCGCATGGGTGGTGGCCCTCAGCGACACCATTCGATCAGCGAGTTCGATGGCAACCGCATGCCCCCGTCTGGCAATGCCCAGGGTTTCTATGCCTCCCAGCGGTACCAGGGTCGTCCCAACGAGGTGGAACAGATGATGCAGGCGAAGCGTCGGATGGCAGCACAGCGTGAGAGGGAACTCCGCAACTATCACCAGGAGCAACAGTACAACCGAAGTACGTGGTAGCGTCTGTTTTCTTCCTTTTGAGCCTTGTTATATTCCCCCGTCGGCTTTTTTTCTTTTTTTCTTTTCACTTCCTTGCATCTATGTATCCGTCAGCCTGTGTAATATATTTGGTTTGGCTTCTTCGTTTTTCTTTGAACACGGGGTTTTAATACTTTTCTTCTTCCTTTCAAGGCCTCCTCGCCGAGATGTCTGCATCCAAATCCGACCGCTCCACCAGCCCAGCTGCCGTGAGCGAGGACAGCCGTCGCGAACTTCTCGCCCGCCAGCACCGCGCCCTGTACGGCAACGAAAGCCCAGCCTTCTTCCCGCCCGGTGCCTTCTCCGATGATAACCCACGCCCCGATAGCCAGGCCGGCGGCACCCCTCGTCCGGTGTCCGTGGATCCTCCCCGCGAGGCATGGACCCATTCGGCTTGACACAGGCCGGCGCCACTAGCGATGCCACCACCGGCCTGCAGTCGCCCTCTCGCGCCAACAGCACCTCCTCGCCTAGCTCCGCCATCAACGCCAGCTTCGGCGAGCAGCCTGTAACCTCGGCCTCGTCACCCGGCGCCGACTCGCCCTCATCCCGCCAAGCTGCTTCCAAGCCCGTCGCTGGTCCCATTGGCTCCGTCGGTCCCATCGGTTCCCGCCCTGCCCCGGGCCAGATATCTGCGCCCGCTGCCAACCCCGCATTGAACAAGCGCTCTATCACCCCTCTCCCCTCGCCGCTTGGGCTCGGTTTCACTCCCGCTGACTCCACTACCGGCCCCGCTACCGAGCGCACCTCCTCCGCAGGCCCTAGCCCAGCTGTGACCTCTGCAGCTGGCACCCCTGGTGCCAAGGACCAGGCTGGTGGTGTTGGCCTCGGCTGGAGCAACGGCAGTGGCGTCTGGAGCTCGAAGAGCGGACTCGGCGTGCAAGCTTCTGTTTGGGGATAAATTATGACAACCCCGAATTTCTGGTTTTTTGATGGCATTACTCCAAATGGGCGCTTGTTGCATATTGGACTTGGTGTTTTCTTGCTTGTGGTGTTGCTTGTGGTGTTGTGAAAAGAGAAACAAAACAGAGAGCTTCTACTGCTCTGAACCCACGGGCTCTGGGCACGGTATATATCAAGACTAGCGGGGATACCATCCGTCGCTTGGTGTCTTTACATGCGTTGCTTAATCTTGTTCCCTGGGGTTTGAGCTGGCTTACTACCAGGCGGTGAAAAAAGGACAGGGGCTTACTGGGAGTATGGAAATATTCCCCCAAATTGTCGGATCTGTCCGGATGATATGATGCCTTCTTCCCCCATTCGGTCTTGGGTTCGTGTTATTTTTGTTTTGCTTTGTTTTTTGCTATTCCGGTGCCCGTGCGAATATGGTCGGAAATATGGCGCTTTATCTGTGATGCTCGTGGGCTATGTATGGGCTGTCTCATTTTTCTCGGTGTTTTTCATGTCGGATGCACGGGTCTCTTTTTTTTCTATCTTTATTCATCTTTTGGGGGTGTGGTGGTACGGGAAACTTGCACATTGTGACTTTTATTTTAATTTTGGATGCCTGTTTTTTACTATATATCTCCATATGGAGATGGGAGGCCAACAGAGGCTCAAAACGGATATTTCTTGGATTTGGACGCCTTCTAATTGTTCTCTCCTTTTCTTTTGAGTGGGGAGATTTGACTACATTGCAGTTGTAAGAAGGAGTAGGGTTACTGGTGTCTGTTTACTTATTATCTTCAACGGATTCTGGGTTCCGTTTGGACTCCCTGGGTTTGCTATGGACTTTATCAAGGGAGTATTGCGTCCTTACATATATCCATGGATATCTACAACTATCGATGTCTTCTTTTTGCTCGGCATCTTGTCATACAAAGGCACCATAAGGTATCTCTGGCTTCGAGACAGTAGTCATCCCTTCTTGCTAGGGCTTTCTATCTTGAAATCGGGTAGTGTTATGTATTTGGGTTGTGTTCTGATTTCGGTTCAGCGAGTGTTTCAACCCTCCTACACCGAGGTAGGATTGTCTTTCCTTTACGGCCCAGTCCTAGTACCGTGGGTTTCAATGTTACTTCGTTGACGAGATACTTGCTCAGAATAGGTGGCAAATTGTGTATTGATTTATTCCCGAATAAAGATTGGTAGTTTAATCTCAAGAAGATAGAAGTAGCAATTGTCCGAAAAGAATTAAGCATTAGTTGAAAGCACGCAAACAAAATCGTCTTCTTCTCTCCTGGCTCAGCATCAAAAGCACCCCGGGACATCACAGAAAACAAAATTTAAAATATTTTCTTATATGTGCGGTCACACCCATGATCCCCCGAGGATGTACAAAAAAGGGGGAAGAAAGTACCGAGGGGATCCACCGCGGTTAAAATCAGACAGAGCTGGTATTCACCGTGGGAGTATGCTCAGGGTGGTGCTCAGGGTCTTGATCATGATATTCTGCAGCAGCAGGGACGGCATGAATGATCTTTCTCTTCGCAGTGAAAAGACCGACAACACCACGCTCCTGGTTAGCCCCAAGCCAAGGCTTGCGGGCTTCACTTAAGACCTTCTGGGCAAGGAAGTAGATGAGCTGGCCGATGATGATCAGCACAAAGGCAATCGGGTACATCCAGTGGATCTTGTAATGGAAGACCTCGACACCAATGATCACACCCCAGAAGTTCATGGTGAGCATGGAGACGTTGAAGAAAGCCGCTGACGAAAGACGGAACAACAGCGGAGCGAGACAATAGAACAAACTCAGACAGAGCGTGTAACCGGTGAGGTATCCGCCGACCTTTCCGTTCCACTGTGCATTGTTGAAGGAGGTCCGGTCGAAGATACCGGCCTGCACGCCGTTGATGATCATTCCGAAAAATGACATTTGGCCGAGCACCTCGTACACGGGCCGAGTGCTGACGAAGTACTCCTCCCCCGTGTTGGTGAGACCGTAGAAGGACGCGCCGAGCAGCGCAAACAGGTCGCCCTTCAGCTGGTTGCCTTTTGATACGTCTCCGCCGTTCGTGCCGGTGATGTGATCCGAGGCAATGAGGATGCCCATGCCGCCGATACAGATCACAATGCCTACCACTTGGGTGAAGTGGTATCGCACGCGCAGGAAAGTGGATGAGATTGTGACGACCACGACGATGGCCCAGAAGTTGATCAGTTGCGCGCTTAGCATGGTTGTGTATTGGTATGCTAGCACAATGAAGTAGTTGCCTTCTACATCACAGAAAGCAAGAATGATGTCTGTGGCGGTTAGTCGGGACTATGCATCGAATATGTGGGAAGGGGGGAGGGAAATTGGGGCATACATTTCCAGCCGTCACGGTATACCAGTCGGAGCCAGCCCTTAAAGCCGTAACGGTACATCGTATAAGGAGTAAAAATGGCGTTTAGAAGAACATAGTTTAGGAAGGTCTGGAACGCAGGGACTGCCCAATGTTCCAGGCCAAGTAGCGTTGTGAAGGTACCGGTCGAGGTATTGGCAATGGCGAGAATTTGACTGCGAGCAGTTAGGGGTTGAGGGTCGGTTTGTAGTTTTTGAAGGACCACTTACCCTAAAAGCACGGTGATGTAGAATTCTTTGGTCCTGAAATAGGCAAAAGAACCTTGCCTCTGATCGACCAGGTCTGCAGGTTGCACAGGAGACTCGGAGGCTTCCGCCTGGGAGCTCAAACTCTGTGCAACGACCTGAGCATCTTTAGGCAGTGGGTGGTCTACACCAGATGCCTGGACAGTAGTGCGGTCCTTCGATTCAGACATGGTACTCTGAAAGCGGGGTATTTGAATATAAATGGCAAACCAGTTGCAGATTGAAGCAAGAGAGTACTAGAAGGGAGCTTTATAAAAAATAAAACGAGCGCAAAACTCCCGAAGTCGCTCGTGTATCGATTTACCGTGGTGATGAATGAAAGAAGCAGAAATCTCAAACCTTAGAAGTAACCTGAGACAATCTGGAACCTTTCCTGATCGGGTAATCTTCGATAAGAATCTTTCATGTCATAAACAGCCAATAAACGGAGGGTAAGTGGGGGCGGTGAGGGTCTGTGCTACGGACAGAGCCGTCCATCTGGTCTTTTATGTCAGCAGCTTGAGGTAAAGCGGCTGGTACTTGGCGGATACTTAAAGAGAAGGCTAGTTGTCAGCTTGACGGGAAGTACTTCCCGTGTACCCCTTCGTAGTAATTATGTGGAGATCCATGCGTTGAGTTGACCTTGCAGAGAATATTTATAGATTTATAGATTGATAGATGAATCTTAAATTATATATTAGGTACGGAGTACAGAGTACAGACACAAATCAGACTTGGTTGTTATAGACTCCATTCCAAAACCCCTGAGAGAGAGCTTTGATGGATTCCCCAGCTCTGCCGATCATGGAAGAACACCAGAATGACGAAGATTAAGTACTCTAAACTTTAGCATAAGCTGCATTCCTAGTATTATAGTGTATTTCCGTGCACAACATATTCAAGGGTACCTTCGTCCCAGGTACTTATATAGCCTGAAGTTTTTATAGGTATCTCCGTACTTTAGGTACCTTAGGTAGAGGTAGAGATAAAGATGAAATAGTTATAAAGAGAATTCTAGAAGATCCGAATGTTCCCTTCTCTTCATATCTTCCAAAGAAGCTTCCTTTTTTTTGCCAAAACTCTCGTGTTCAAGGGAAAACCGAAAATCCTAAGTACCTGCCGAGGCCATCAGGTGGACCAGGTCTGTTCCCCGATCGTCATCCCCTCCGCAGACTCTTTCATCATTGCGATCTCCACCTCCATTCCCTCTTTTCGTCCCTTTCAAACCCTTTCTAAACAAGACTCTACACAATCCTCCGACAACCTTTAATTTTATTTCCCCCCACCGCCCTTTGGCTCTCCTCTCGCGCCGGTGCACTTTTATCAGGCCCGGAGTGACGAGACGCCGTTCCCTGTTCCTGCCGGACCATGGCGCTGGAAGTACAGCCGCCCGACGGTCGCAAACGAGTGAAGGTCTATGAACTAAAAGATAATGATTGGTTTGACCGAGGGACTGGCTTCTGCACGGGTCAGATCTTAGGAGTGAGTTGTCGCGTGTTGTGCGCGCACCGGGGGTGCGACGATGTTTCATCGCGCGCAATTCCCGAGCGCATCACCATCATCATCAGTAACTGATTGCTTTGGAATAGGAGGAGCCTCGCATATTTGTCGAATCTGAAGACCTACCCAATCGCGTCCTGCTCGAAACGCGGATCACCAAGGACGATGGCTATCAAAAACAACAGGGTACCTATCCCGCTATTATCGTCCCATCGCTGTTTGGATTCTTTTTTTTATCTAACTGTATCACGCGATCCAGAGACTTTGATTGTTTGGACGGAACAGAATGGTACGGATATGGCGCTGAGTTTCCAAGAGGCGGAAGGTTGTGCAGTCATTTGGTGAGGAATCAACAAAAATCTTTGCGCGCATGAACTAACCTAATCAAAGGGACTTTGTCAATGCCGTTCAACAACATCTCTTGAGTCTCACTTCAGCTGGTAAGGTTTGTCGCGTGTTTGGAAGCTGGCAGCTCTAATTGTTTTCCAAGATGACGCCTTGTCCGATGACCTCGATAGCTACCAGTCCATCGTATTACCGGCCCCCGAACTCGGAAACCTCCCTGAAATCGAACAGATTGTACGAGCTGCGAGCATGACACAGGGCGGTCGAGATGCGCTATCCAAGTACATCATTCGCGACGAATACATCGCCAAATTGGTACCGCTAGTGACAATGGCCGAGGATTTGGAGAGCTTAATCGATTTGCATCGGTTGTGCAACATCATGAAATCTCTTATTTTGCTCAATGACAACACCATCATCGAAACCGTCGTCGCCGATCATGTCATCCTTGGAGTGGTCGGAGCGCTGGAATGTATGTTCTCCTCAGCTTCATTCACCCTGATCCAAAACCCAATGCAATTGATACTGACAACAACAGATGACCCTGAGTTCCCCACACATAAAGCAAACCACCGACAATACCTCGCAGACAAATCGCGATATAAGGAAGTCGTCCCGATTAAGGATCCGCTCATTCGCCGCAAAATTCGGAGTACGTGGAGGCTGCAATATCTAAAAGATGTGGTGCTAGCTCGGATTTTGGACGACCCGACATTTTCGGTGCTCAATTCTCTCATATTCTTCAATCAAATGGAGATTGTGAATCACATCCAAGCAAATGGGCCGTTCTTGCGAGACCTATTTCAAGTCTTCGACCCGAGAAATCCGGACCAGAGGCGCAAGGATGACGCCGTACAGTTTCTTCACCAGTGTGCTGGCATCGCGAAGAACTTGCAGGCACCGTCCCGGGCCCAACTATTCGCCAATTTTATTAGCCATGGCTTGTTTGCCGTGATAGCATTTGCCGTCAAGCACTTGAATCCAGCTATGCGCACAACTGGAATTGATATCTTAGTGGCTCTGTTGGATCACGATCCAGTCATGATGAGAGGTTATATGCTCAAGGCTGTCAACGAGAAAAAGACACCACTCACAGATACCTTGATCGACCTTCTTCATGTGGAGACTGACCTTGGCGTCAAAAACCAACTTGCTGATGCTATCAAGGTACTCCTTGATCCTCAGATCCCTATGCAGGATCCGCTTGGTCGGGCTGGACCCGATTACTTCAAAGTTCGCACCAACAACCTTCTCTCTGATGCATTTGTCCAGCAACATTTTGATGAGTCCTCCAAAAGGCTTTTCCAACCGCTTAAACAGCTTGCAAATCGCACATCTCGTAAGTGGTGAGATCCTTTGTTGGTGAAGACTTTGCTAACTTTAAGTCTAGTTAATGATTTGACATTCCAAGAGGTCACCCTCTACTCGCATCTTGTTGATATCCTCACCTTCTTCGTCCGCCAACATCTTTTCCGCACACGTAACTCTATCCAGAGTGAATCTCTCGCGCCTCGCGTTGCACAGCTTCTACGGGTACCTCAGAAACACCTCAAACTCGGTGAGTCGACAGCTTTTTTTTTTTTTTTTGCCCTGAAGCCATAGCTAATACCAACAAGTCGCCCTCAAATTCTTCCGCACCTTGATCAGCCTCCAAGATACCTTCTACCAAGCTCTGATGACACACAATAACACTTTCGAGTTGATTCTCGACATCGTTTATGAGACAATGCCCCGCGACAACCTGCTCAACTCGGCCTGTCTTGAACTTTTCGAATTTATCAAGCGGGAAAACATCAAGCCTTTCATCCTTCATGTGGTCGAAAAATATCGCGAGAAGCTCGAGAATATCGTTTATGTCGATACCTTCCAGAGCCTAATTCTCCGATATGACCAGATGCAGGGATACGGAGCCGAGGCCGACGCGACACTATTCAGTCAGGAGGACAGCAACGCCCCGCGGAGAATTCCCCTCAATGGCCAGCGCTGGCAGGGTGCAAGAGAGATGGACCCCGCGGAAGAGGATTATTTCAACACGTCTGACGACGAAGACGAGGTAGGTACCTTTCGGATTGGGACCGTTGGAGTAAATGACTGACCAGACAAGATAAAGTGGACACAGGACCGTGCGACCACTACGGATCAACCTGCAAGGGAATCCACCTCCGCGGTCGTCAAACCATTGGTTGACTATCCAGATGACGATGACGAGGACATCATGGACACAAAACCCGAAGGGGCAGAACAACAGCCAGTGGCCAGTCCAGTCGAGACTTCCACTGATGTTCCTGCATCATCACTCACGCAAAATCCCCCTGCACCGGAGCGACTTGCGGAGAAGCGTCGGCGCGAGGAAGAAGACGATGATGAGCTTAGCAAGCTTACTGCAGGACCGGGAGTCAAACGAAGAAGTTCAACTAGCAGCAATTCTGGCGCCTTTATCATGAATCGGAAAAAGTCTGCCGGTTCACTGGCAGACAAGAATGCCCCACCGGGTGTTTTAAATAGGGTCACCAGCGCTGCGCCCAAGAGAATCGCCATCAACATCGGATCAACCGCCAAACCGCCCCTTTCAGAAACAGACACCCGCACAGAGGTGATGAGCGAGAGTTATGAGAAGGAGAACCGCGACGACAGTCAGGGTAACGAGAGTGGATGAATATACCTCATAAGCCAGGCGTTTTTCTTGAATTAAGTTTCCTTTTCCATGACCTAGATACCAGACTTGGTTGCGGGATTTCCCATATTTCATCTCTTGTTGTTCTTTGGGCAATGTCCTTTCTTCTTGTTCCGTTTCATGTTTTGAAGGGTACTCGTCACCCATTTTCCTCCTGGTCTTATGAGGTGTTTCCTTCTATGGCCTGAACTAGCGTCTGAATGTTGATGTACATGGCATGGCGTCTGGGCAATGCATTGGATCTAACCTTGCGGTGTCTATTGTTTTTATTTTCCTGGTCGGACTTAGATACCGACCAGTGGAGGAGCCCTGCATCCGCGGATGGAGTCGTTACAATATATCCTGCTGTCTTCATGGCGTTACCGGTTGGAAATTATCTGTAGTGCCGTAGGTACGGTCTGCACAGTATCTGCCCTGCCCACGATATACCTAAGCAGCCCAGGAATATCTATCTCGGTGATTCTTTTTCTTTTTTTCTGGCTTTCTTGATAAACATATTTTTGGGTGATCGGGGGTTAGCATGGGTACCTAGCTCTAGCTGTAGAGTGCTTGGATCCACCAGCCAAATCAGACTTCACCTCCCTATCAATCTCAGGCAATCCATTCAACCACCCCAGAGGAATCATATACGCGAAAAATACACAACAAAGGGGCACAATTCCTGTAATTATGTCCTTTCATTTGTTTTATCTTCTCTTCACCTAGACAACCACTAACCAAGTCCAGACAACCCAACAACCCCGTAGCCATCTATACCCTGGATGAAATCTACATGAGAGAGTCCTACAGCAGATCCAATGATATAAAACAAAAATGGCACCCGAAATTACCCCAAATACCTTTCTCACCACCACAGTTTCTCCGTCAGACCAGAAAACGACAATCTTCTTCATCTCCGGCAATCCGGGTCTGATCGGCTATTACCACCCATTCCTCTCTCTACTCTCAAAGTATCTAGACGAGCCAAAAGAGCAACATGCACCAAATTTACCATCATTTCAAATCTACGGCTGTTCTCTCAGCGGCTTTGAAATCGACCAACACCAGCCCCTACCGTCACAGAACAATGGCATCGATCTCGATCTCGATCTCGAAGACCAGATCTCCTTTGTTCAGGGAAAGCTGGCTGCCCTGGTGGGAGACGAACCAAACGGTAACGGTAATGATACTGTGAATGCCGGAACCAGACAAAAAGTCATCCTGATCGGACACTCCGTTGGCGCATATATCGCCATGGAAATCCTAAGACGACACCGCGAGGAAAATCCAGAAAGTCCCTTCGATATCGTCGGCGGAGCGATGCTCTTCCCAACTGTCAAGGATATCGCAGCGTCGCCTTCGGGGCAGAAATTAACGGTACATACTATATTGCATATTCCTCTTACCACATGCTGCGTTTTTCTTTCGCTTCGTGCTAATATTGGCTCCGGCTATGTAGACTCTACTATCGATCATTCCACGCCTTGCTGTGGTGGTTAGTTTCCTCGCTCGACTACTTACACTCCTATTCCCGGCATCGCTTCTTCGATCTGTGGTCCGGCTCGTCATGGGTGATCCCCCCGTTCATGCTTTGGATACTACCTGTGCTTTTTTGAAGAGTTCGCGTGGTGTACGACAAGCTTTGTATGTGTGATGTTCTTTTTGGTTGTGGATTGGGTTTGGCTAATTATTTCATTGCCTGGCTAGATATATGGCTGCTGATGAAATGCGGACTATCACCTCGGACAAATGGAGTGATGATGTCTGGGGTGCTGCATCAGCACGTGAGCCTATCGCTAAGCTGTTTTTCTATTTCGGTCGTAATGATCATTGGGTAGCTGATCAGACGAGGGATGAGATTGTTGCGGTACGCGGGCGGAAGGGAGGGCAAGTTGGGCCGACTATGGTTGTTTGTGAAGAGGGTTTGCCGCATGCCTTTTGTTTGAGTAAGTGGCATTTTATTGACTTTGACTACGATATGTAGCCTTGCTGACAGTTTGTAGAACATAGTGATGTGATGGCGCGAAAGGTTGCGGGTATGATTGGGCAGATTGTGGCCTGAAGAAGAGGCTATGGTTTCTTGAATCTATGCATTAAAATAGACAGGAACTACATAAAGACAAATGAATTTCGCCATTGGCGCAGATTGTAACGGGTATCTCAAGAGACGCTACGCCACGCCTATTCCCATCCGAATGACAAAGAGCCCCAGCTATTCAAATATGCAGGAATAAATCATAAAGCTAGACGCCATGTACAAATGATCGAGGGGCCCGAAGGAGCCACTCAGCACTCTAGTTCCCCTGCCCATTGCCTTGTTGAGCTAGTCCTGCCCTCCGGAACAAGTCTCCTAGCACATCGGATTGCGGCTGCGGCGGGGGAGTAGGAGATGGTATCTGGTGAGACATCATGTGTTGATAGTTAGGCTGTTGTGGGTATGGCTGCTGGTGCTGCTGGTGCTGCTCGGGGCCTATATGGTGTGCGCGCACACTCCAACCGTCGTCCTGGGCGCGCTGCTGGCCAAACAGATCCTTCAGCGAAATTTGACGACCCATAGGCACGCTAGCCTGTATTTCCTCCAACGGGGGAGCCCGTGTGGAAGCCGCCACTGCCGCGAGGTGCAAGCTGTTCTGGCGCATAGCCTCGAGGCGCTCACGAGCTAGCTTCATGCTCTCACCGGCGTGAGTGGCGCACTCGAGAATCATCTGGGCATTTATAACGCGAATCTCCGCGGTGGAGTTTGGCGGCGGCTCTGAGTAGATCCAGAGACCGTAGATGCGCACGTTGTTTGCGACGCTCTGGCTGTTGGGCACATTCTGCGGGTGCAAGGGGTCGGCAATGCCATTCTGTCCGGCTTCGCCTTTGGAGCTTTCTTCGGCTTTGAGAATGACATAGTCATCTGTAATTTCGACATTCTCACCATCGGTGAGGGGGAGATCAAAGTTGTTCAACCCGCGGCGGTTTAGCACGAAGGCAGTGTAGCGCTCTTCGCCTAGGTCACCTTGCGTTTCCTGGCACACAAATAGTGTTCCTTCAACTCCGTTCTTTTCCCATTGTTTTGTGGTAGGACTGAAGATGTAGACCACTGCGTAGGGGGCGAGTGATAGGATGGAGGTCACTGAGGGCTTGTGGCGGCGGATAACGGAGAGGTTGAGCTCCTCATTCGAGCGGAGCGGGGGGTGCAGGTTGTTGCTGCATGTCGGAGTAGTATGGGGCATCAGATTCATAATCGGTGAGGTTGACAGGATTGTGATTGTTCTGTCTCCGAGGTTTGCGTGAAGTCATATTTTCTGTGGGAGCCATTGGAAGTTGTGAAAGATATGGAAGGAGCTGGGCATATCGTCATTGCTCCGCCTTCGCGCTTATCCGCTTCTCTCTACTCTCTACTCTCGAACATCTTCTCTTTTGAACCTCAAGGATATTTGAATACTGGCATTCATTTGATTCCTTTCAGATTGGTTTTAAAACTTATTTCTATTCCCTGTGTTCTATGTCTTGACGATACGACCTTTCCAAACCTTGGTGGGATGGACCTCTGTGATGAAATGACCGAGCCATTGTCGCATTATACAGCTGATTCTCTCAATTACTTCTATTTATCTTATGGTAGCGATCATCGCCTTGCTCTTCTCTTGCGATAACCCTCACAGCCTATCTTCCCTTGTCGGAATTAAGAACCACGCAAGCGCACACACTCATACATACACCACGCTACATACTGCCACCTTACCAAACTTGAACTCATAACCAAGCGAGGGCGAAGAGGCTCTCTTACTTGTTGATTCCACCCTATACCCATACACCATGAGCACCAAATCGCAAACCTCGTCCTCGTCCGCGTCAGAACAAAAGGGCCACGAGTCGGAATATGCAGAAGAGATTAAGAACCCTGGACTCGACGTTATGTCACTTTCGCGCGCGGTCAGAGCAAGGAAAGCTGAGTACACGCGCCGGCGATCTATCCGAGTCAAGGTCGGCACGTGGAATGTAGCCGGCATCTCCGGCACCGAAAAAGACATTGGTAGGTGGTTTGTTCAAGGAGACGGGGTGTGCGAGAGTTTCTCTGGGACAAACTACGCACGGGATCCAGAATCTCAATCGTCCAGCAAGAATGACCCGGACGGTGCCAAGAAAGGAACCTTTCGCTACAGCCCCGAAGAGATAGACCTCTACGTCTTGGGTTTGCAAGAAGTGGTCGATATCTCTTCCCCAACGGAAGCGCTCCGACCGTACGTCGACTTAGCACCGTCCAAGCGTTGGAAGGAAGCGGTCCAAAAGGCGCTCCCTGGAGGATATCAGCTAGCCTCTGAAATTCAGTTGGTCGGCTTGTTGCTTCTGATATATACGTCGCCCGCCATTGGAGACAGTATATCTTCTATCAATAATACCTCTGTTGGTACCGGGCTGATGGGGTACATGGGAAACAAGGGCGCCGTGGCAACGCGCCTTGTCCTAGGCGAAACGACCCGTTTGGTCTTTATCAACTGTCATCTCGCAGCAGGGTCCGACAAAGGCAGTTTAGAGCGACGTAACTGGGACTCTTCTCAGATTGCCCAACGTGCTAAATTTGACTCGGTTTGGACCGAGGGTGACGAATCGGCTGAATCGGGCGAAGCAATTGGAGATGAAGATTTCACTTTCTGGTTTGGTGACCTCAACTACCGCCTTGACGATATCTCTGGTGACGACGTGCGCCAAGTCCTCGCCCGACACACTGTCAATGAGTACGACAAAGAGCGCCAAGCAAAGCAGTCGTCAAGCCATTCGGAGGACTCTACGGCCGATTCCGGTAATGAGTGGCCTTCTTCTCCCCCCGAAGAAGAGGAGACGGGGTCAGCCACAGACCCTGTCACCGACGAAGAGATCGATCCTCATAATGACCCTGCATCTCTTCAAACTACAATTTCCTCGCTCCTCCCACATGATCAACTCGGACTTCAACGGAGAAAAGGCACAGCTTTCCATAAGGGTTGGCGGGAAGGCCACATCACATTCTTGCCAACATACAAATATGATGTCGGAAGTGTAGCCATGTTTGATTCGAGTGAGAAGCAACGGGGTCCTAGCTGGTGTGATCGGATTCTCTTTCGCACTCACCGGGACAAGTTGAGACATGAGAAGCTCGACGAGGAGGCGGAGGTGGCCCGAAAGAGGGACGAGGAGATGAAGGCAAGCGGGCTGGACAAGGCTGTTGCCGATGATAACGTCTTGTTTGAATATGACCCTGATGCAGATGGTGCAAATAGCGAAGAGTACGTATCAGACGAGGATCAAGCCGATGACGATGCAGTCACAATTGCATCGTTGGACTCTTCCCCCGATCCAATTCATCTAGACCAATATGTGTCGCATCAAGGCATCCTTTCGTCGGACCACAAGCCTCTGGATGCCATCTTTACCTTGAGCTTTGATGCGGTCAATCGCGAGCTCAAGGCAAAAATTCATCAAGAAGTGGCCCGTGAATTGGACAAGGCCGAGAACGAAGCTCGGCCCGATCTTACTGTTGTGGTGGATAAATATGGCGACCAAAAGCATTCAAAGAAAGACCCTGATGCCATCGAATTCGGCGATATTGCCTTTGATGTGCCAGCTCATCGGTCCCTAACCATCGCCAACACCAGCGGGACCGTAGCCAGATTTTCATTTGCGGAGCGGCATAATGTCGACGACGAGACCATTGCACCAGCACCCTCATGGCTTGTTATGCACATCACCAAGTCTGGAGAAACCACCCATGACACTGGCCAAGTGGTAACTTCTTCGTCTGAGAGCCACACTCTGCTCCCTGGGGAAGTAGCGAATGTCGATATGACGGCTTACGTTCGCAGCATCGATCACGTTCGGTTGCTTAATATTGGAAAGGTCAAACTAGAAGACATCCTGATCCTTCATGTCGATGGCGGCCGTGACCACTTTGTCTCTGTTCACGGCCGTTGGCTACCCACCTGCTTCGGTTGCAGTATTGACGAGTTGACTCGCATGCCAGAAGCAGGTGCTCGAAGTTTGGTCGAATCCGACACCCCTCACCCATCCAGCACAGATGGTTCCGCGGAAATTCGCTTGTCCGCACCCCGTGAGCTTTTCCGACTAACTGAAGCCATCTCCGAGTTGACAGAGCGGGCTGTTGCAGAATGGAGCATGACAAATGGTGAATCCAAGGAGCATAAAGCCCCATGGGCAACGGATCTCTCTAGGGGAGCATGGCCCTTCCAGCCTGATACATGGACTCTAAAGGACCCGCAGGCGCGTGCTGCGCTGCAAACTTCCGTGCGCGAAGCCCTTGACACCAACACGCCCCTTGGCTCAGTCTTTGCCCCTGAGCTATCCTCTCTCCATCGGTTAGAGGTCCTATCTGAAACCCTTTTTACTTTCCTGAACGCCCTCAAAGACGGCGTCGTTACCGCGAAAGTATGGCAAGACATGGAGCAGCAGATAATCGCGCGCGAGAAAAGCAAATCACCCCCCCGAAACTGGGAAGAAACCCAGGCCTGGGTACTTGAGCACTTGGCATACTCACCAGCACACAGCGTATCATTCACGTTTGTCACTTTTATGCTCGCCCGCATCGCCAATGAAGTGGCCCCAGTAACCTCCACTGCACCGATGGCCCCATTATCCAGACAAGAGAAAAATGGCGAGGCCAAAGAGCCGGCAGATAAGCAACCTGAAACCGAAAGCCTGGATCAAGCTCAATCTCCTACTCCGGCTTCCGCTACTGCCTTCATAACCAGCGGCAGTTTCCGCCGCAAGAACCGTCCCACGAACACATCCACTAGCACGAGCCCTGACCCCACGAGTCAGAACCCTTCGATAGCACGTCGACAAGCAGTCGAGACTGCTCTAGCATCTATACTTTCACTCGTCCTTATTTCTGCTCCCCTGCCGCCTAAAGAGAAAGAGCGCCGTATGTCTGAAGAACGGAGGCGATCAATCATTGAACCATTCTTAAAGATGATTGCGGTGGATGATCGAGGTCCATCTGGGGGCCGGTCATGATTTTTTCTAATGCAGTGAAGAAGTTTGTGGGATTTTCCCCCTGTCTCGCGGTCTACCCCTGGGCTATGAGGTTTGATCCCCAGGCATGTTTTGACTCCTTCCGACTTGACTTTTGAAGTTTTTTGATCACATCACATTGTCTCGATGTATAATACTGTACAAAGTGCTCAAGTCCCTATGTACTTGATTTCCTCTGCCACTTCTTGGCCTTCCCTTTCTGCTTTAGTGCTGAGGCCTTGCCGCTTTTTGCTCACTGAGTGCAACTGAGCACGCCCATGAGTATTACATAAGCATTCGATTCGCTCACTGGGCATGACGGGAATTGATAACGTATTTCACAAGCGAGCTGCGCACCCAACCCAAACCATTGAATTCAACTATATTTATCTCGAATTCAACTATATTTATCTCAACCAAAACACCATTAAATTAATTCAACTAAATTGATTTATCTAGCTAGGCATCTGTTAATTTTATGCCCTATTTCTCCACAACCACTACGCTTTGGGGAGGCCCGCATACGTGGTTATAAAGCCGGCGAAAGGCTTCTTCGTGGAGGGGAGGGAGGTGCTTCCAGTGCTTCCACTGGCTCGGTAATTAATTGAGAAGCTTCTTAAACTGAGAGGCCTTCTTCGGCAGGTATCTGCCTTCGGGATCGAGTGCGCTTTTACTTCTGCTTCTCGTTAGCGTCGCGTATATCGCTTACTTCTTTCTTAAGAAAAGCAGCGGACTGCATAGTGATTTAACAGGCCTTTAAAACCTGATTTATCGCGTAATTTAGCGGGCTCGGAGGGCTCCTCGATCTAGGACGAAATAAAGCTTTAATTAACGAAGCTTGCTTTTATAATTATACGTAGTTCGAGGGCGTTTTTAGGTCCTAATCGCTTCCTCTGCTCGGAGGAGGGGGGTCGGGGTTCGAAGCTGAATATTAAGCTTCGTGTGAAGGGACGTAGCCAGTCTTGATTCAAACTAACTAAGCCGTTTGCAGTTATCTAAAAGCTTAAGGAGAGAAGTAGGAACTAACGGGGTCGAGCGTAGATGAAAGGTGGGCAGAAGGTCACGTGCACTAGCCCGTTATAATACCCCCATACCCCCCTCCTTCCCGTGGTGTATAGGGAATACCCGTCCGTATACAGAGGGCACCCGTGCGTACGTAGGGGTGCGTTCCCTGAGGCCCATCACTCATTTAGGCGCTTCCGTAACGTTCTTTAAATGTGTCTAACGCAGCGCAGTCTTCTAGATCATCTAATCTTTGCCACGTTTACTCCGTAAAACTAACCCATTTTACTAATACTTCACGTTAATGACCTCTCCCGACCCTCCGTGTGCGTGCGGCTAGGATCTCTTTAACCTCCCATTCTAATTCGTTATTAACGATAATTAACGGGGGTTAGGTGTTATCTACGGCCTAGGAGGGGAGGGGGTCTAATGCCGCAGGTCGTATTAGATCTATATAGAAGATAGGGTGGATCCCGTGCGGAACACTTAGCTTCACGGTATGTGGAGACGGGACATTCACGATAGTGTGTAACGGGTTAGACCCGCTTCCTACTACATATATGGCCCTTCCGTCTCCGCACGCTTCCGTTCTGCCACCGCCTTGCCCGTCATCCTTATTATTGTCCCGCTTGCTTCATTCCTTCCCTTCTCCAAGCTTTTTGTAAACAGCATGTCGACTTAGTCAGTATTGAATCAATTTGACTTCGTTTCTTCACACCGGGTAACTATTCGCTAGGAAGTGGATTATGTAATTTTAGTCTACTTGACCGCACTTAGATATAACCAATGACAACCATGCGATTCTCTTAGTATCTCATATGGATGGACATAAAATCACATGACACGGGTCGTCGTAGGCCCGTGGCTAAGCCCTGCTCCCGGTATTAATGAGAGCCTCGTCAGTTCGATTGCCAGCTGTTATGAACCTCACACAACTTACCGATAGAAGAAACCAACCTCCTTATTGCAGCAACAAGTCATGCGATTGCTAGAAGCCACAACCTTACGCCTACTTGATTTCACCCCTGACAAAATTCCTCCCTATGCAATCCTCTCGCACACATGGGAGGAGGGCGAGGTCTTATTCGAAGACATTGGCAAGGGGACTGCATTGACTAAGTCCGGGTATAAGAAGGTCGAATATACGGCACAGCAGGCTCTTCGTGATGGGCTCGAATATATCTGGGTGGATACATGCTGCATCAATAAAGAGAGCAGCGCCGAGCTTTCAGAATGTCTCAACTCCATGTTCCGCTGGTATCAGCAGGCGCAGGTTTGCTATGTGTATTTAGCCGATATGGATGAGGACGTAAACCAAATGGCCTCCTGTCGTTGGTTTACGCGAGGTTTCACTTTGCAAGAGCTCATCGCTCCTGGCAATGTGGTCTTTTTCTCGCGCAATTGGGTTCGACTTGGCAGCAAAATGGACCTGTGTGATGCTATCTCCGACATCACGGGTATTGGCGTCGAGTACCTCTGCCAGTATCGGGAATTGGAATGTGCTAGCATTGCTCAACGGATGTCGTGGGCAGCGAATCGGCAGACAAGCCGTCCCGAAGACATATCCTATTGCCTGTTGGGGATCTTTAGTGTGAATATGCCACTACTTTATGGCGAAGGCGCTCGAGCCTTTATTCGTCTAGAAGAAGAAATCATGCGGAATTCAGACGACCAGTCGCTCTTCGCATGGTGTGACCCTGAAGCAAAACCGGATGCACTGTATGGTCTCCTGGCGACGTCTCCAGCACAATTCGCCAATTCAAGGACAATGTTATCGTATGAAAGCTGGGAATCACGACCCCCATATGCGATGACAAACCGAGGACTGCGGATTGAGCTTCCTATTCAACCTGACCAACAATACCCATTGCTCGATGTGGCGGCGCTGAACTGTCCTGTCCCTGATGACCCCAACGACGACACCTTCATTGGTGTCAATATACAGAAGCTATCCAGCGGGGATGATCAATATGCTCGGACTCAGGCACATAAGATCTGCCATCTGACCCGCAATCGCGGACCACTTCGCACAATATATGTGCGCCAGCCGACGATGGGCCCATCAACAGTCTTCGGCGGAGGTGGGATGTTCCCGCATCATATCGTGGTCCTTGGAACTGGCCCATGTTATGAGGAACAGTATCACATGATCAGTACGTTGCCACCATCAGGAACGACGACGAAGACATTCAACACTGGCCCAGCGATACAGCACTCGGGAAAGGAACCAAAATTTTTAATTGATGCCCGTGCCGCTGCACGCAGTTGGGTGCCATCACATTGTCGGCCAACATTTTCGATTCCAAAGTCAAGGAAACAGTTGGCTGGAGCACTTCTACTGAAGAATGGCGTTACTGGTAGTCATATATGCATTATGTTTGGCTCTATGGCGGACTATAATATCGGGTTCAGCGCGATTGACACGGAAATATCCAACTTCATTGCGCCAGAGGCATCCATTACTCTGTCCGAAATACAGCCATTATTTTCTCCTGTACCACCCGGACGATGGATCCGGCTCGAACATGTCTCGGTTCGGATTGTTACCAGCGTGCATGTGTTTCATGGTGGGAAATATTTTGTTCTTCAACTTGAGTTGGCCAAAAAGGACCAGGAGAGTCAGAACAAGGATGATGAACACTCCGCTTCGCTGCCTTTGAGCAGAGGAGAGACTTACATTTCTCCGGCAGTCCGTCCTCCTTCCCCTAGTCGCCGGGTTATTAGACCGCCAACTCAGCCCAAAGTCGTCCGTCATACTCCCAAGAAACCACAGAAAGACACATCAGGGCAAAAAGTCGGTGCGGTTGTTAGTGGAACCATTGCGGCAGGGACTCTGGCGTCGGCGGTTGGGATGCTGGCGGGTGGGTTTTAGAGCTATACTTTGTTATGGATATTCATAGGCAATAAAGACAGGTTGAAATAGCTCCTTGTCTGGTTCTTTCCGATGACAAATAGCACCGGATAACGTATTTCACGTGCGAGCGGCGCACCGAAGCGAGTGGCGCACCCCACCAAGCCTATCAATTTTTATTGCATTTATCTCAACCAAAACGCCATTAAATTCAATAAGCCAAAGACTAGTTCTACGAGGACATGTAGTCAATTTATGACCCTTCGTTCCACAGATGCTACATGTTGGTAAGGCTATCTTACGTGGCTAAGAAGGTACTGGAGCTTAGAGCTCGGCAGCAACCGCGGTCTGACCGCTGCGGTGCGTTTAGGTAACCGCAAAAACGCGGTTGAGGGTAGGGATTCTCCTCACTGCGGTCGGTTATGCCGCTGCCAGAAACCGCATGTGGTTAACCGCGGTTTGACAAATAGGTCAAACAATTGGGAGCCCGTGACCTGGATACTTTATGCATTTTGGGTTGTAATTTTGAAGTATTTAGGTTACAGGCACGACAACCTGTGTCTAGAGATTTTTGGCTTTTTGTGCTGAATGTAGGAGAATTCAAAATCAAGCAAGTTGATATCTAAAATATTGGAATTGGATAGTTTTACAATAACTCCTCGCCCATGGGCAAGCTTAGGGAGCCCGGCGCAAGCTATCAACCTCCTTTCAGCCCACGGGCATTAGCGAGTTCAGTCTCGTACACCGTCGGCTCATTTACTGACTAATACATACACACGTTATTATCAATCTTAAATCTTGGGAAAACACAGCGGGAAAGTATACTGTTCATATTTGATATACTAGGCAAGAAACTCAATCAAAGGGTATACAGTAAACTAAGGAATATGCCATGTTAACCGCGCGCTAACGCTGCAAACTCGTGCGATTCTGATTTAGGTTGAGAGATGTTTATCTCAGACTCAGCGTACGCAGGAAACTGAAACAAAACCCAGCAGATTTTAAAGGCTAAAAGATGTATTTATATTAAACCGGTTGCGCCGGGCTTGTCTCAGCATTTTCTGTTCATTTCGGTAGAAACCGTCTGATCAATTCTACCGCCGAGGGAAACTGGTTATAATGCTGGTCGGTCTAATGTCCTCAGTCTCTGTAGCCTTTGACCAGTGATTCACAATTTCTCTTTACCTTGCATGGCAAATAAACATAGAAATATGGCAGAAATTAACCGGAAGGTCACACCCTCAAAAATGCCTCCTGGGTTACCACGGACTAAACGCATCGATCTCGTTCAATACAGCAATTGGTCATTCAAGTCGACACACCAGTTCCTTTTTGCTAGATCAACATTTTTGTCCATCCTTAAACAATAATGGAGGAACTGATAAGTTTTTCATTTCACAAATAAACAGCTTTATTGTGGAGATCCTTAAGTTTATTTCCAACTGAACAGGTGAGCGCGTGCTTACCGCATCTCGACTCCAATGTATAGCTGATCCAGCCCCCTGATTAAAGGTCAGCCCGGCTTTGTGCTGCCGACGGGGTGAACTGAGATTATCAATTATTCCCTATACTACTGTTACTTGCCTTTGTAACAAATCCAAGTGTGCTTTTGGTATATTTACAACTCGAGTCCGGAAGTCTTGTACTGTTTTAGTTGTCTCGGGCCCACGGCGATTCCTATGTTTTTGAAATGAAGTAAAAAAGAAAATCGACCTAGCCTCTCTTACTTTTATGGCCTGTGGAAGGGATTTTAGCTGCAGATCAAGGCTATTATTGTCTACGCAAGGGAATTCGAAATCTTAACTTCCAAGATGATGGCTGTCTGCGCCCTCCTACTGTAACAGAAACATCTCACTCTCTATACTACGTACCCTCTCTATACTATGTACCCTCTCTATACTATGTACCCTCTCTATACTATGTACCCTCTCTATACTATGTACCCTCTCTATACTATGTACCCTCTCTATACTATGTACCCTCTCTATACTATGTACCCTCTCTATACTATGTACCCCATACATTCTACTTAAAAAGGTCATCCACCTCATAAACCAATTCCGGGCATAGCAGTCCAAGATTCCGTCTTCGACAATACTCAAGCGACCATTGCGTAGAGTCACGCTTTCTCTTTCAGCCTTGTCCGTCATGAACACCCTCGTCCCGTTCTGCCTTATGGGAGACTCGGCACCATGTATCATTTCATAGTGATGGATCAGATTGACTGCCGGGTTAATATTCTCTTCACTCCGTGCCTCGCTTTCGCGGAGCAACTAAATCCACTCTTTAAACGTCACTATCTGAAACTGAAATCCGTTTCGTCTAAGGGCCGCCAGTAGCTCAGACCAAGGAAAACCGCGCGAGTTATACACGTGATAGATCGAGTTGTTAATATAGGCCACTCCAGAGGGGTCGGACACGCGATTTAGTCTAACATCGCGGTCAGGCGCAGAGCATGATTCAGCTAACTCGAGCACTACTAAAGCCAACTTGTCCACCGGGAGCCACGAGCACTCCTGACATAGTTTAGGCAGGGCTCTCAGGGTCAGTGCCGATCGTATCATTAAAGAGATTACCTCGGATTCATTCCACAGTCCTTTCTTTGAAAGTCCCGAGACTTGACTAATTCTGAGAGAATATGTCCTGGCTCCTAACTAGCGTATAAGGCTTATCATCTTTTCTCCCACTAACTTGGACTGGCCGTAGCCCATTACCGCGCTATCGAGGTCGAGTGGCTCCTCTTAGATCGTGGCAGAGGAGGCACCCAGCGCCGAAGAGATAGAAGAGCAGAACATCATGACCGCAGGCTCGAGTCTTCGAACCGAAAGCGAAAACCCAATAAGGTTATAGAGTCCCCGGATGTGGGGCTCGAAGTGGGTGAGAGGGAGGTTAAAGTTAACCGGCCATGCGGTATGGATGATCAGAGACACTGAGTCTTACATATGACGAAAGATCCGACCCTCCCCACTGGGTCTAGGCGAAAATCAGGCCGGTCCAGTGAGCCATTCAGACCCACGACCTTTGATGTCTATTCCGGCGAGAGCAGCAGGCCCCTCTCGAATAGGCTGCGGTGTACTGCCTTCAGCGGAGATGACTTCCGCGTGAGACAGTATACGGTCGACACCGAGTCATCGTTCAGCAGTTCAAACAGCACGTGTGCGCCCACTGAACCAGTTGCTCCTGTTAACAGCTTTGCATTGTCAGATCGATGGATCAGAGTCAGAATTACATTTACTTACTACGCTCTTTATCCTCCGTGGGGTTTCCGGACACGGCAGATATTTCCGAAACAGGGAGTATCTCTTAATCAGGTTATTCATGAGTGAAACAGTGTCTTCGGCTGTGGATATGACACTTCCGCTCTGCAACGCACAGATATACTGGGCCAGCTGCGATATGTTACCCAGTTCAAACACTAAGTTTTGACTCGGAGAGTGATAGGGATGCCGAGTTTATCCTAACACAGTTGAAGAAGGTGAGACTACGTCTCGGCCAGGTCAAGTTAGAGACCCGCATCGGCGCATGCTTCCGCAGTATACAAGGTCTCGATCAACTCAGCATATTGTCGGTAGACCTGTGCTCGGACCATAGACCCTTTGTCTATTCGATGGAAATTTACGGTCTATGGCAGAATCGCCACTATGTCCCGTGAGATTTGAGCAAAAGCCTCTGCGTAGCAATTGGCCTCTTTAATCGACGGCCAGATCGCATTAAGGTAGTCTTCATTCGACAGAGAATGGGCCCTAGCTTCCTCGGAGCGCAGGATTAGAAGACCCGGAGTGCCTTTACCCACTCTCACCACCACCGCTTTATGGACTAGCGGATGTTACTTGACGTAGCCTTCAATGGAAAGTGGCAAGACTTTTTCGCCATTAACGAGGGTAATGCGGTCATCCAGTCGTAACAAAAACTTCCATCGCCCCGGGATCGTAGGATGAGGAATAAATATATCCTTAGAGTGGAAAGACCCGGGCGGGTCGTCTGAATTGGATGTGGTTAAAGCCGGATGACCGGCCAGATAAACGCATTCGTAAAGTGGTTCAGTCTCGCTGATAGGTTTCATCTAAACATATGGTCGAACACTATCAAATAACTGCAGATAGTTCTAACAGGGGCCATCTTCGGGCCCTGGGATCGAATCGGCCACAAAGCCTACCTCGGTGCTGGCCTGGATATCAGCATGGGAGAATCACTAAGCAAAAGAACTTACGGGCCGAATGATGTCGCGGCTAACGTGGTGCTTGTCGACTCCACTCTACTCGTCAAGTTGATAGATCACATATTCACCTGCAACGTGGACATATGATATATTAAGTTAGTAAGTAACTTACAGATGAATTTATAGATATTAGTCACACGTTCATACCCGCTAGTTAACGTTGCCCTACTTACATTTCCCCCTGGCAAACAACCCACCTTATGTATCTGAGCATATTTGGTATATACCATCTATTCATGGAATCTCAACATAGTATAATGACTAAGACTAATGGGACTTGTCACAGACTTTTGCCAGTCCATGGAAAATGTCAAGGTCTACGGACACCTTAAATTCCACAAGTCTCGATAGCTAAATATATCCTCACAGTAATTAGATGGATTCGAAAGCTTGGCGTAACAATACAACTTGGAAATACCACACAACAAAACACCTGGGCAACATACTAAAAGACTCAGCTTGCTTCGGAGGTCCATCGTTCATCTGTAGTCAACCATTCGTATGACCTTCCGACCAGTCCCGCTTCTTTCAAAATCATTCACATCATTGACAATGATAACTCTGAAATAAGGATTGGTGATAACGAGGAAGCTGAACTTGATCCGGGCCACTATTTCTTTTTCTGGAAGGATTGAGGTTTTGGCAGTCTCAGGCGACTTACGGAGAATCCGGACCTCCATATATTCAACACCTTTAATACCTTCTTCCCAACCGAGTATGATCTGCCACTGGAGGATGCTAAATTCTTCTGTTTGCATCATCTCATGAATGGTGTCATAATGGAAGTAGTTAGAGCCCCAGTTGAAACTGAACTCTTTATCTCGGCCGTAAATACGCAGCAAGCGTAGATGTGGTGCAAACGCTGGGGCAATTTTTGCTTGTGCGTTGGCTGGAAGCGGATGGAGAGACCCGATATCCCCAGAGTTATATCGCACCAATGGATTTCGAAGACGTTGCAGAGATGTTAGCACAATAGCACCAGTGTCACCTTCGGCAACGGGCTGGGGTAATGGACAAGTAGTCTCGGACGACGGGCGAGTGAGGATCTCAATGTGCATAGCCCGCGTATCATATATGAAATCGGCTGCATCGCGCGCACCATTTTCGTCTCCATCATGTGTGGCAAGCTGTGGATTGGAAACAGCCCAGAATCCAGCCTCGGCACTGCCTAGGCCGGAATATATTGCGGGAGCATGGAAGATTTCTACCAAAAGGTCCCGCTGTGACTGTAACAGTGGCTCGGAGGTGTACAGAACCTTGGTGATTCGAATTTGGCTGCGAATATCGGCGGGTAGGCTAGCTATGTGCCGAGATAGCTTAATGAGCTCGGTGACGGGGCCGGTAAGGAAGTTGCATCGGTACTGTATCAGAGTTTTGGTAACTAGCTCAGCGGACATATCTCCACCAGCGCAGAGGATCGTTCCCCCCGCATATTCGAGACTATCCGTCAGCAAGTCGAGAGACCTGGAAAATGTCATGTTATAAGCATAGCCATCGGTGCCACATTTCGGAAACCAACCGATACAAGTATCCAGAAACATGAATATTCAATATCCAGTCAGTGGGCTGCACAATTCCTATTGCTTTTATCAAGGCACCAATACTCTCTCGTTGGCGCCGATTTTCACCACTGTCGGTTAAGAATAGCATTGGAACCCCACGGCTCCAGCCTCCACCCGTAACACTGGTGTAAGAACTTTGGCGGAAGCTGTTTTCTGGCGAATCATCTTCTGCCAGACGCTCAATGACTGGGAAACTTTGTAGAATTAGCTTTGGAAATGATGCCATAGGCCTTTTCGGGGAAAGTATACATGTTCTTTTTCTCGATGATTGGAAAATGGGAGAACCAATCGTTATCAAGAGGCGTTGATTTGATGACATCCCCAACTTCGTGAGGAAAAAGTGGATATTTCACACTGGGATTGTAGAAAGGGTGTTTCCGAGCGACTGCGGCAACGTCGCCCAATGTGTAAAATTGCTGGGTCATATCGAGGCTGACTGGGGCAAGTACCCTGACAAAGTCTCGTAGGTTTTTTATAAAGAGCAGTGGGAGAAGCAGAAATTGAGATTGAAAAAAGGCGCCACTCGGCATGATCAATGTAAGGGATATAAGCGGATGCGCATGTGGTGCAGGCGGGATTCCTACAGACGCCTCGAGATGATGTGTAAATCAGTAAACCTTGCAGGGCTGCAAGGCATTAGTAAGAAACAAATACCAGACTGCACTAAATAACATTGCTTTAAATGACGCCTAAGCAGTCAGTTCGACGAATCGCATCACCTTGCGCCCTGTTTTGCTCCGTATGAACCCCTCTGAATCTTGTATAAACGTCAAACTAAACAATTCCTGATTGAACTCAAATACCAAAAAGAATTCCCTCATCTTGAATGCCAGTTCCTTCATCTTTGATGCCAGTTCCTTCTCACTTGCATGCTTTCCCGGTACGTGCAGCCCACATAAAACTCGAACATCGAGGATTATTCCCGCTCCCTTGGGCTGTGTGTCTCGCAGGATAATCTGCCGCTGTAGTATATTCCACTGCTCGTTTGTCATGAAGGAATTGACTGTGCTGAAGTCAAAATACTCGCCATACCAAGTAAAGCTGGAGCGCTGGTCGCGACCGTAGATTCGAACTAACCGGTAATGGTCGGCGTTCTGAATTGGCAGCTTTGCGAGGAATTCTGGGGGCATCATATGAAGAGATGCCACGTCACCACATAAATATCGAACAAGAGGGTTACGTAGGCGCTGTAAGGATGTCTGGACTAAGCGACCTCGTTGGCCTAAAGGGACATGGTCCGCGCATAGGGAGAGCGAATCAGATGTCTCTCATGCATCGTTGCTCGCAGCTGAGAAGGGGAGTACCTCCAAAAGAATGGTACGCCGATCAATGATAAATTCGGTATAGCTATCCTTAGGAATGTCCATCAATGCTGTAGTTGAGACACCCCAAGGCCCTGCCTCCGCACTGCCAATGCCAAAGCAAATGGTCATGTTCCCAAATACCGAGACAAGGAATTCTCTTTGCGACGCTGTCATGGACTCCGACGTGTAGATGATCTTGTTGATCATGATATCTTTTCTCTACTCCTCTTCCAGAGTGTTCATATAGGTTGCTAATTGGAGGAGCTGACTGACATCTCCTGCGATAGCATTTGCTTGAAACTGAATAAGTGCCTCACATACAGCGTGATGAGCCATGTCGGGACCAGCACACAACACGGCTGCACCCGCGTTTTCGAAGAGCTCTGTCATCAAGTCGATCGCCCTGTCAAGTGGATCAGTATCAGAAGTGCTCAAATAATTTCCATCGAAAAGTTCATAATACCGGTACAAACGGCCAGATACGTGCAAAGTCAGCACCCAGTCCCCGGCTCTATCAGACCACATTCCCGGAGCAGTTTTCCTATCACCGCGCGCTGCTGCCGATTCTCGAGAGAATCTGTGGCAAAGACCATTGGTGGACCTCCAGATCCCCCTCCTGTTGTGCTGATATATGTACCTTGGCGATAGCCATTTCGTGGATCTTTGTCTACTGTCAGACGAGCAATTTGGTGGTATCTAATCTGTGTTTAGTAATAGCTCGCCGGGCAATAATTTGAACGAAATACGCACAAGGAGTCTTTCCTTGTAATGGGGAATGACTTGAGCTGAACCCTACTTTCTTTCGCCCGAGCGGTTTCGAGGATTGTGGGTATCTGCTCTCGTGTGGGAGGGTATTCGGTGTCGGAGTAAAAGGGGTGCTACTAGCAACCTCCAAAATATCGGACAGCGAATAAAAGTCAGGCGACATCGTAGACTGGGAATCTAAAGCTGTAAACGCTGATGATTTTTAAAGTCGAGGTGGGCGATTTATCTCTTTAAACCCACGCAATGCATTTGGCATACCACTGACGACATTCACGACACCCCTTACATGGGGAAAATCGGCTTTCAAAATGCCAAAAAAGGTAGTGACGAGGCTAGGTACGTCGATATCGCCGTTATAAAAAGGGGTTTAGCGTGGCACTATATGAATCTTCTTCTGTCCAGCGGCAGATTTAGCTTTCTCATTCACTCCCCTCCGCAGCCATGAGACCTCCTCAAGATAAACTCCGTTGTATCTGTGCCACTACTTCGAAGACTGGTCAAGCTGTGATTAGTTCACCAGCAGATGTTGATTCTATTACCCGCGACTGCTCAAGGGACGCTTTGCACAACAGTCTCGTCAAGATTTGCCCCGCAGATACATGGACCGGTAATTGCCATCTTTCCAGTTGCCCCTTTCCTATATTGGTGAACAGCTTGCATCAGCGACAGCTACTGGAGCTCAATGAGGCACTGGTAAAAGCAATTACCGACATTGTCTCAAGATGGTGGAGCGATAAGGCGGCACGACTTTCAGAGCGTATGCCTTTGCAACCAAGGGAGGAAAAGCTTCTTCGTGTAAGTATCCCAATCAAAAAGAAATACAAACTAGATACTGACGGTGCCTAGTGGCTGGACTCACAAGAAACGGGTGATATACGTCCCTTCAAGGAGTGCATGGGATCTTGGAGACCTGATTTTCTTGTCGAAGAGCCAGTGGATCTCACAAATGGCTGTGTTGAAAACTTCCGCATCTGCGAGATCAATGCTCGTTTCAGCTGGAATGGCTATATGCTGAGCGCATTGGGCCAAAAAGCTCTTTTGGATATGGGTATCTGTCGCAGTGAAATCATGGGTGGAACGAATCCCCGAAAGGTATTTCAATTTTATTCTCCGGTCAAATGCGTGAATGTTATCACATTTTGCTCTTTTCTTTTCTTTTCTTTTTTTTTTTTTTGGCAGGCAAGGCTTACCGATCTGATAGATCCTTAACGGGCTCCAGCGTCTTTACGACCCCCAAAGTCCTGTATATCTTCTCAAGGGCAAAGAGCATGGATATGACATTCATCTATACGCTCATTACGCGAGCCAGCATCTTGGACAACGCATACGCTTCATCGCGCCGGAAGAGTTAAAATTGATTCCATGCCACCAATCACGTGGTGGATACAAGTTGTACTGCTTGGTAGATCCTCATTCCCCAGCCAATGAATCAAACGCCACATTGTTGCACACTGAAGCCGGTGAAATCCTCGAGGAGATCAATCAGGTTGGGCTGGAACTACACCAAGACGAGATACTCGCTCTCAGTGACGAAATGCTTCAGCAAGTCAGCCTGCGATGCTTTAATGACATGCGCACAGTGCTCTTGGTACACGATAAACGGATGCTTGGCATTGTCCTGGAGGAGCTTGATTCTCTCGTGGTGAGAAAAATTCTTCTCCCCAGTGAAGCAAGTTTGCTAGATCGGGGGATCTGTCACACAATACTCCCTGGATCTACCTTGATGGCTCGACTTCTTGAAGAATGCCGGCTTCAGCCAAGTCTCAAGGACGAGTATATTCTTAAGCCTGTGAGAGGAGGCAAAGGAGAAGGAATCCTCTTTGGAGATGACATGACTTTTGAGTCATGGATGACTTGCCTGGAAGGCATGAAATCTCCATATTTGTCTCCTCAAGGAAGTACCATGGTCATCCAGCGCCGGATAAGACAAGCTAAATATGAGGTTTTTCTCCAGGAGAAGGCGGGGTTACAATGTCTTCCCATTGTTGGAACTTATCATGCCGTGCACGGGGAGTTCCTGGGCATCGGAGTTTGGCGCAGTAGTCCCGGTTCAGTATGTGCAATTAGCCACGGTGGTGCCTGGATGTGCTCTGTTATGCAAAGGGACACCTGATTCTTGATCTAGTCACATTTCATCGGTTATTGAACTTTTGTCTACGTCATGTCGGTCTAAAAGGCCGAGAAATACTTCTGGATTAGAGTTGTGTGTACAGATCACGTAAAATAAGCGGTATATACATCTATCTATTGCTTTGGGGGTTTACGCTGCAATATCACAGTGAATTCAACAAAGCATTACTGATAGGTACAAATAAAGTTTAAGAGCAGGTGGCCTTTGAGTAAAAATTGGGGACAAAAGAAAGAAAAAGATTTATAACAGAAGTCGGTTATCCACATTCGAAGTTCTACCTAAAATCCAGCCGCTCACACCGTAGGCTGATGCTCCTTACTCTGCTTCCAGTGGTGATGTAGTAAACCTGCCAGCCATTGGGCGAGTCTTCCCCCTTAATTCCCGTACCTCCCGCAAGGGGGCTCGGTCGGTACGGGTCGCCGATCCTTCGGTGCAACCCGAGGATAGGGATCGGCTCTCCAAATTCCTGTAAGGGTTGCTATTGAATATATTTCAAATCAACAGAAGGTAACCAGGAAGAGATCAAAAATGCCAATAGAATCTTGTCGATCATCTTCACTCCCATTACTTCCGTCCGTCCCCGTGCGTCCCCGTGACAATAAGACGGAACCTAGGATAGTCTACACTTGGTACAACCATGCATGGCTCTATAATGTCAGTGGCACAAGCATACAGTGCAGCTAAGTCCTTACTGACTATCATCTCGTCTATGTTGGCAGTGAAGCCTTCTCGGCTCACTTTATGAGGCTGCATTGTCGGTAGGAGATTTATCTATTGCTGATCGACACTCGTCCAGTGTCTAAGATCGAGCATTTCATGACACATTCAGACCTATTTTACATGCACCGTGCATACATGCACCGTGCATACTCGAGTCAATAACGCGTCATTGGGACTCATCAGATCATGGCGAGGTAGAGTTTACGGGCATCAGTACATCTACTTATGTAGCAAGACATATTTCATGTTGTTACTTTTCGGCAATTCAGTATCAACTACATCTTCAATATTCTATTACTATATAGTAATCTTGAGTGGCTATCAAAATTGACTTCGGTTGTAGACTTTTTGATCATCTAGCCTGTATTTCGCAGGAAGGCAGCATTTAATTTGGGAGATGTACCTTTTTGTCAAGCAATATAGTATTGGTACTCTCATTGCAACGTCAATTGTTCTAATGCGGTATCATTGGTGCAATCTAAGGATAGATCAACGTCGGCGAGATGTGCGAATATCTTCTCATGCCTGCTGTACGGTCCCCTGCAGAAGTTGTCGTATAGCACCAAATGTTCTGTCATTCAGTCTTATGCAATATGAGTTATTTATGTCATTGATCTTCGAATCTTGGCCGTAATGGCGGGAAAAACTGTAACTTGATCGAAAAATTACAGTCTTTCATATTCCAAGACGTTGATTATTGTGGAAAGTCACTAAGACCCCAGGACAGTTTCACATATAAAGTCGATCCCAGAACAAATGAGTCAAACTTGCATTCACCTTCGATCCTTTGCTCTGTGGCTGCAAACAGAATCCAAGGTCGCCATGCATCGAACTTCTCGACTTGTTCAAAATCGGTGTGTCTCACAACCCATAAATATACAGCATATCAGCAGATTCCCTCCGTTTCATCGTCAATTTGCTACTGCTGTGTCTCCCGCAATACCCCATCTGGTGGCTCGTGACATTCTTGACTCTCAACGCGAAGACCATATCCACGCAGTGCATCATTATCTTCAAACACATGGAATCCTCAAAATCAATCTCGGATTCCCTGACAATAACAGCAATTACTTGGAGAACCTGATTCTGAGTCTTGGAGTCCACCATGGCCACGGACCTCCGATCTCACACAGCGCCAGTCGTGGATGGTTCTGGGATGTTCGCCCAAGCAAAAGCATATTACTATCAAAGAAAGATTGTGCGAGATCAGAAACAATGCGAGACTTCCCATGGCATACGGATTGTAGTTACGAGCATGCACCCCCAAAATATTTCGCGCTCCAAGTGCTCCAACCAGACCGCTGTGGTGGGGGCACATTCTCAGTCCTGAAAATCGACCATATTACTCGATTCCTTTCCTCGGCAGCACTTAAATCTCTGTTTCAGCCTGAGTTTCGAATCAAGATCCCCCCTGAATTCGTCAAGCACCCGAACAAGCTACACATCGTAGGTAGCATTCTCAGTTTCGATGAGCAGCAGCAATCAATTGTGATGCGGTTTCGAGAAGATATTGTGACACCCATCGGCACCAGAGCCACTTCGGCTTTACAAGAGCTTCAAAAAGCACTGGAGAATCTGGAACATTCATCGAAGACAACCTTGCATTTGAAAGCAGCAGACCTGCCGGAGAGGTCGCTTATTCTTTTAGATAATCGGCGTTGGCTCCATGCACGGAATGACGTCAAAGATCCCGCAAGACATTTGCGTCGTGTACGATGGAACGCGACCCCATTCTCTTAATGCTATATCTGTTATGGGCGGGCATGAAGGGAAATGGTGAGATACAAGGGCTCATATAGTCGGAATGCGCATTTTTATAGATAAAAGGTGAGGACCGTATTGGTTTGTTCTATTCGTTCTTGGTCTCAAAAGTGACGCGTGGTGCCTTTCCTATTCCTATAAAATTAAATGCTATCTTTGTGCAAGACGATCTCATACAAGAGATCGCCGTGATTTGAAATGTTACCCTTGTGGATCCAACTGATCTGCATTCTTATACCTCGCCCGTTTAGGAATCCGTGAAATGAGAGTCACCGTAAGGGGTTCTTCTTTTAGACTTGCCCTAATTTAAAATAGCCTAATCATAGACTTACTATGACTCTGTATTGCAAAAGGAAAACACGGAATCCTGGAAATGTCTGACTTGCTCACGATCGTCTATGCCGCAACAACGGCTACCGTTCTAGCCCTGAGCGGACCAGCTATTTGGAAAACATTCGGACACAGCCTTTGTGTCCGCCCGACAAAGTACAATCGGATTTTGAGCTTGAGCTACCACGATGAGGACGGAGAGGCCAGTGGTGACCTTTCTATTCGGTGTCAAGCGGAAACATCTTTGGTCACTCGACGCCTCGTGATATTTTCGGCGGCTGCTCATACCACCCTGATCATCATAAGATCTTGGTTTCTGCCAGCATTTCAGTCTTCACCTCTTTCAGATGGGCTGGCCCTCATCGGTGGAATAGTCTTGCTGCTTCAGGCCTTGTCCTTGAATTCTGAGCCCGAGATAACTGGTCGGTATCGACTCGGGATCAGAGGAGCCTGGAGCTGGCAGGTCATGGCCGTCGCTTTGGTTGCAGACATCTACAAGAATTGCAACCAAGATAGTATATCTATTGAAGTATGGGTTGTTTGGCTTTGTTCGACAATCGTGATATTGTTGGGACTCGGGGCATGTCTCTCTTTTCCACGACGACCTAAAATATTCCGTGATTCCAACCCAGTTGATGGACAATTTACTACCAGTGTCTTGGGTCGGCTATCTTTTGGCTGGGCTACAGACATTATGTCGGCCGCGAAGAACACCGAAATACCGCAAATGACCCATAAAGCCCGAGCAAAGTCCCTGCATGAATCCTTCAAAGACGCACGATCCTCCAGCATGTCTCTCTGGAGAACGATCTTTTACCTCCACCGCGGGGTTTTCATGAGACAGATAAGCCTGACAACGGCGGTTTGCTTCCTCGGTCTTATTCCCTCGGTCGCTCTCTTTGAGATTCTACAGGCTTTGGATCAACCGACGGACGACAAACATCAGACTCGATTGTGGACAAACGTGGCCCTCCTGGTATTGGGAGTCCTATTATCTTCTACCCTTGATACATGGAAAGTGTGGCTCTCATTTAACTGTCTGTCTCTGAGAATCTTCGAGCAGCTCTCTCTGGCGGTATTTGATAAGTCGATGCTTCTGCCCAGCGCCTGCACGTTTGTCGATCCCGATGCTACCGAAAAGGGTGCTGGAGACAGCATGAACCTACTCGCGGTGGATGCAAAGTACGTCGCCGACTGCGTCTGCTTTAGTTATGTTCTGTATAAGGCACCGCTCCAAATGGCTATTTCTGGTATCTATCTGGCTCGCTTGCTTGGATGGCAGAGTCTTGTGGCAGCAGGCTTGGTTTTGGCATTCCTGACGCCATTCAACGTATACGCAGCTCGGAAATATACTTTGTCGCAACAGAATCTGATGTTGGCCCGTGACCAGAAAATGCAGGTTCTAACAGAGGTGCTGCAGTTGATCCGTCAGATTAAATTCTTTGCCCAAGAGTCTCTATGGGAAAAAGTCATTGGACGGAGCAGAGATAAGGAGCTCATTGCACAGTGGCATGCCTTTCTCTGGAGTATTGTACAACTGGCCGTCTACTTGACCACCCCTGTGGTGCTATCAGTTGTATGCCTGGGAGTCCATGCCATGATCTATCGGACACTGTCTACCCCCACTGCTTTCTCTGCAATTTCAGTTCTGAACTCCATCGAGATTGTCATGTATGCCTTGCCGGATTGCATAGCTCGGACTAGTACTGGATTGAATAGCATGAAGCGTATCGAGCAGCATCTCGAATTGCGCGAGAACAGTCCTCGGGCAAAATCAGCCACAAGTGTTGAGTTTATCAATGCTACTTTGGGCTGGATAAGTTCTCGACCAGGAGAGTCTGTGAATCCCATCCTGCGCGAAGTGACTCTGTGCTTCCCTCCGTCAAAATTGAGCTTGGTGACAGGCCCTACAGGATGCGGCAAGAGCCTGCTTCTGGCATCAATTCTGGGGGAATCTATGCTGCTTGGAGGAGTTTTACGTGTTCCCGATGTCGGAAAATATACCTATGTTGCGCAAGTCCCCTGGCTAGAGAACACCTCGGTACGGGAAAATATCCTCTTTGGCAATCAGCTGGATATTGGCAGATATAAGGAGGTTCTTTTTGCCTGTGCTCTCGACCGAGATCTCACTTTATTCCCCGACGGAGATAAAACAGAGATCGGCCCGAGTGGTGTCAATCTCAGTGGTGGGCAAAAGTGGCGTATTTCATTGGCGCGTGCACTCTATTCTCCGGCCAATATTCTAGTCATGGATGATATTTTCGCCGCTGTCGACGTACACACTGCCAGTCATCTGTTTCTGTATGGACTGACAGGGCCCCTCGCCCAGGGCCGGACCCGGATCCTCGTCACACACCATATTTCCCTCTGTCTACCGCGTACTGACTACATTGTGTCCTTGGACAATGGTTCGGTACAGTACGCTGGACCAGTTACAGGTTTGTCCACAGATATCAAACAAAGTTCAATAAATCTTGAAGCCAGCTTGCATACAATGGACAAACATGAGCCAATTACAACACAGATGTCGGATGATCAAGATTTCAGTTCTCAAGAACCTGAACGATCGCCCTCGCAATTCGTGAAAGATGAGCACCGGCAAGAGGGCCCAATGCAGTGGCGGATCTGGAAATTGTATTTGACCGCCGGGGGCAGCATTGTTCCCTGGATCTGGGTAATGCTGGCTTTCGGTGGATATAGCTTATTGTTGACGGCCCGGGTAATTATTGACCATCTGTGTAACGCCGAAGACATGATCAGACCACTTACTAACTATCATACTGACAGGCTTGGTGGCTTCACATCTGGAGTGATCACGAGAAAGTGGCATCTTGCGACTCAGCAGAGTCAACGGCGTGTGCAGGCGATGACTTGCTTTTCTATCTAGGAGTTTATCTTGGCCTGGGGGGCTTGGCTTGTATCATTGGTACAGCTCGCAGCTACCTTACTCTACAAGCCTCGTTGCATGTGGCAAGGAAGTTATTCGACGGGTTGCTACATACCATTCTCCACACTCCTCTCCGCTGGCTTGATGTTGTCCCACCTGGTCGGATAATGAACCGATTTATTGTGGACATTCTGGTAGTGGACTCCCTGCTGGGGGACGACATTCAATCAACTCTTGCTAATGCTTTTGATATGGCTCTGGCCGTTGTAGCCGGCAGTCTTGTGAGCCCTTGGCTCATCTTACCAGCGGTGGGTCTCTGCATTGTCTGTGTTAGATGTGGCCAGATCTATCTGAATACCGCGCGTGAGCTCCGGAGGTTGGAGAATGTTTTGAAAAGCTCTATCTTTGAGCATGTTCGGTCTGCGCTCTCCGGAATCTGGACGATACGCGCTGAAGCCAAGACAGCGATATATCTCGACAAAGTTACGGAAAGCATCGACCACTACGCCCGCGCCTACTGGCAGCTGTGGCTCCTCAACTGCTGGCTTGCCTTTCGCATGGATGTTTTGGGAGCCCTATTCGCCATGGCTGCGAGTACATTGGTTGTTACATCACCACGGGTGAGCGCGTCGCTGGCTGGCTTTGCGATCACTTTCGCCCTGAAGTTGGCCCAATCAATGTCGCTGACTGTTCGACGATATGCAAGTCTTGAACTTAGCATGAACAGTGTAGAGCGTATCTTGGAGTACTCAGAGGTGCGCACTGAGCCGATTTACCAGGGCGATAGCGTGCCTTCCTTTTGGCCTAGGCAGGGATGTGTGCAAGTATCGAATCTCTCAGTGAGCTACGCCTCCGATCTTCCACCTGCTCTGCACAACGTGAGCTTCACCATAGGTCCAGCAGAACGGGTGGGTGTAGTGGGCCGTACGGGTTCCGGAAAATCCTCTCTCGTCCTAGCTCTGTTTCGCTTTCTGGAGGCAGATGAAGGTAGCATTGTAATTGACGGCCTCGACATCTCCATGCTGAATTTGCACCAACTGCGTGAACGGCTATCAATCGTTCCCCAGACTCCAGCCGTTTTCTCGGGCACATTACGGACAAATCTTGATCCGTTTGGGCAGTATTCCGACGAACAGCTCTTAGCTGCGTTGCAGGACGTGCAATGGAATGAGGATTTAACTACTCCTGCCAGCCCAGTCAAAGCTACTGGCGATATACCGGACAACGAATCCCAGACCTTCAGTGATGACAATGAATCAGCTATGCCTCTAATGACGATGCATCATACAACCACTGCACAGCTGCCAACGACTACCCAGTCCCTTCTGGATTACCCCGTCGCGGCGGACGGCCAAAATCTCTCCCAGGGCGGACGGCAACTACTGTGTCTGGCGCGCGCCATTCTGCAACGACCAAAGTTTTTGGTCCTTGACGAAGTCACATCTAGTATTGATCAATCAACCGATCAGAAAGTTCAAGCCTCAATACGACGTATCTCAAAGCTTAATTCAATGAGTCTTTTGGTCGTGGCCCATCGGTTAAGCACAGTCGTCGACTTTGATAGGATTCTCGTTTTAAGCGATGGACATGTTGCAGAATTTGGCCATCCCCGAGAACTCATGCAGCAACCTTCTGGGGTCTTTCGGGCCATGATGTTGGAGCATGGTGAAGAAGACTCGCTCGTGCAGTGAAATGCGGTGGTGTCGGGGCCAGAGTGACCAAAGCTCTGGTCTGTAATCACTGCATCGCTGTTGGGCTCCCATAGCTCGCCTCGTAGCTCTTGCGAATATTTTCCGTGTGTTATTTATGTGTTGTTTTTGTGTGTTATTTTTGGAACCTTTTCTAGATCTTGACATTTCCTATGGGACTCCCACCATGGGACCGTCCTAGGCTTCTGTAAGGCCCATAAAGCCCAAAGCCCAACTCAGCGCACGAATAGACTTCCGCATAACTTAACTTGGGCCGATGGTCTCGACCCAAAACCCAACCTGGTCCGAGTTGGGTCCGGGTTAGGTTGGGTTAGGTTGGGTTCTACAGAAGTCTAGTCGCCGAACCAATGATCAATCTCATTTACACTCCAAGTTGATTGGCGAAATATAGATCATAGGTAAAATTCTATGTCTTCCAATTTACGTCATCGTGCTCTAGTGCGTTATAATTTGAGGGGAACAAGACCGGAAGATCCAGCTCAAGAAGTAAGCGTACGGTGAGAAATGATGGCCATCAAAAAGAAATTGCAAGACATGGTATTGTGGGGCAAAGAGCTACTTTGGGTATGGACTGGATGTGGACTGAGTGCTCAATAGATGCCTCTGGTCAGTGTCTGAGTAATCGGGGATCAGAGAGCAGCCAATCAGAGTCACTGAGCACTCACTGAGCGCTCGTTGAGACCGCACTGTTTTATCACGTGATGGCACTGCGCAGCTCAGTAAGCCTGACTCTGAGCGCCCTCACAAAAGCGGCGGCAGCTAAGACAGGAAAACCCCACCTAGCAGAGGAAATCCGTTATGGAGAGCTACATACATAAACACCAATACCCCGATCCCTCAGCCAGTACCCAATGCCCATTTCCCCAATAGTTTACAGCGCACTAAAGACCTTCAGTCAACAATCAAATCAGAAAAAGAAAAACTCCATGCATATCCTCATTATAGCCCATCCCCATTCCTCACCCCAGACCGCCGCTGCGGTGGCGCCAGCCCACCACCCTGCCGATATACACCCGACAATCCCATCCCATCACCTCCAGCCCCAGCCCCAGCCCCAGTCCCAGACTTCCCCTTCAACCCAGACTTAGACCTCGACCTCCGCTGTGACTGCGGCTGCAGCCTAACCTTCCGCCCCATCAACATACGCCTCGCAGCATCCCAACACCCCGAGACCGCACGCCCAGGCAAACCACCAACCGATAGCGCAATCTGAACCGGGACCACGACGCACGCGCAAGCCCAATCTAGCAGGATGAACACATAATTCGACCGACGCGACTCAGCCGATCGCTGCGCGGCAGCAGCCAGCGCAAGCGCATCAGCGGCCTTGGTCTCGAGGCGCGCGAAGCGCTGATCGGTCTGTAGAGTGAAGAGGGCGGAGCGTTTCTCGTAGCGTCTAACGGCACGATTAAGGGCTTCGATATCGGGTTGGATTGATTTGCGGGTTTCGATAGCTGCGTGTGCGACTACGGAGGAAGACTCGAGTTGATCTTGTTCTTTTGGGGGGAGGTTGGTTTGGGTCGCGAGACGGGCGGTTGCTGTCTCTGCGACGTGGGCTTCGAGCTCTTCGAGGCGCTTTGTTAGGTCGTTGAGGGTTGTTCGGTTTATGACTGGGTCTGTTGAGGCGCTTATGATGCGTTGGAGGTGGAGAGTGCGTTGTTGGACTAGTCTTAGGAGGTGGGCGACTGGGCGGACTTCAGAGGCTAGGAGGAAGATTGTTAGGTTGTAGTTTGATACTAGGCCCTCGGAGGGTCGGGAGAGGCTTGAGCGGATGGCGTGGAGGAGCCAGGTGCCGATTACAGGGAATATGAAGCAGGCGGCTAGGGCTGCGAGTTCGTGGATTTGGAGCTCGGAGCGGGCTGTTTCTGCTTCTTTTTGTTTGGGTTGGGGTTCTTGGTCAAGCTCGTATGGGGGATCGTCGGGCGCTGGGAATCCACTTTCTTCACGTCGGGTGGTCTGGGCTGAGCGGTACCAGTCCCTATTCTATTAGTTAGTATTGGTAACTTTTGTATCGGGAGATCATAGGATATAGGGGGACCAGGGGACAGACCAAGGTAACCGGACAGACCAGTTGAGAAATATCGCAGCCAAGACTAGTAATGTGACGTCGGTGACGACGGAACTGCCTTCATGGAAAAAAACGCCGGCAATTGCAGGCAGCAGGGCTAGCCCGAGCGGTGCCGAATGCCAATTCGATTCTTCGGTGGAGAGTTCGGCATGGCCTTTTGCTACACGCGGTAGAAACAAGTCGTCGGTCGAGGAGCGGATCGAGTTGCGGGCCTCTGAGAGCGAGTCCGAGAGGGTCGAGTTCCGTCGTTGATTCTCGAAGGTGCGGACACGACGGGTGTTTGAGGTGGGCGAATCAGCCATGTTGACCCTGAAGGTTGGAAAAGGAATGTGTCTCACTCCATAGTTACTCCAAATGTATATTTACCGAGGTGTGATGATGCAACGATACCAAACCGGTTCGCTGATCCTAAACTGATTTGGATGTCAAAAGATAGTAGCCGAATATAAGACAGAATCTACTCCGAATCTACATGCCAGAGCAACCCCTTCCATTTTAATATACTCCCATGATGCCCCTGAAGCCAAGCCCGGGTCCACCGATCCTCCAAAACAGAAATGTCACTCAGCTTATAAACTGGCCTTGGTGTTTTGGTGCACCAACTCCATACAAAAATTGTCGGAGCAATTTCTAGCCACTTGTACTATATGCAGTTTGACCATCGAAATAGGGTATGTGTAGAGAGGATGTATCAGGTACTAATCACCTAATCAGTTGTATCTCGGTTTACATATAGATTCTATAAGCATAACTGTAGTTGAGTTGGAGTAAAAAGATCGAATAGTTGACATAAATAGATGGTCTAGGAAAGTGTGAACATAAATGTGACTTGAGCTTGAAAATACAGGCTTTTGGAAAATATTCAATCTTGCGAGGTGCTTTTTTGCGATGTCATTTGTACCGTCGAGGATCAACTCTCTTTTAGGTCACTGCAACCTCAATCTCGTCGATCTCTCCTGAATAGACTAGACATTCTAGATCAATAATGAATCATTAATCCCCCCCAGATCGACATAATCAGGCGGATCAAAATGAATAAAATCCCCGCCTCCTTGGGTCTATTGACACCCAAATCCGGACTGGTGTCGCCTCACACTATTCGCTCAACCACACCCCAACTCATATACTTCACGTTGCTTTTATTCAACTTCTTTCAACTTCTTTCATCTCATTATTGTGACTTCTTTAGTCTAATTCAACGCTAATCCAATGGATAGGTTTCTCTGCCTGTCGCAAACATGTCATGACCGGGTACCCCGCAGATTTTGCCTCTGCGGCCCATACATTCTTCGTGGATAGTACATGACTTTGCTTCAGGCATGATGTCTTGAGCTGTGAATCAACCTCCTGATTCTCGCTATTCGGATCTCAATAAGACATCGCCGTTCAATCGCCTCCACTGGCTGGGTATACCTCCTATATCGAGAGAGGATGGTTTCAAACGCATTCATCTCTCTTCCATCCTATCTCTTCATTTCCTTGATCAGTTTGCAGAAGAATTGGAGGCTCAAGTAATCGAACATATTCTTTTTAATCTTTGTTTTACATGCACTGCCGTCATGGATATTTACCAAAGACGCCCGCAGGCCGTGGTGCTGCCAATTCTATCTTCTTTCTCCATTGTTCTCGCTATTCCACCGTTAATTCTGCATGGAAAGAACCGCAATTTCCCCGCTACCAGTCTTATATTCTGGTCAATCCTCCTCAACTTGTTCAACATCATCAATTCTCTCATATGGCCCACGGATGACGTGCAGTCATGGTGGGACGGGGCTGGTCTCTGTGATATCGAGGTCAAGCTCATGGCTGCCGGCTACGTGGGCATCCCAGGAAGCCTAGCATGCATCTTTCGAAGTCTGGCAATTGTACTAGATACCGATCGGGCTACATTAGTCCCAAGCAAAGGCCAACGCTGGCGCAATCAGTTTGTGGAGATTCTGTTCTGCGTGGCTGTTCCAGTCATCGCAATGATCACACACATCATCTGGCAAAAGAGTCGATACTTGCTACTGGCCATTTCGGGATGTGTGAACAACTTCGACGAGAGTTGGGTCAGTCTTGTCTTTGCATGGATCTGGCCGCCAATTATCTGTCTCATTGCAGCATACTATTGCTGTAAGTATATACTCCTAACTCCATACAAAAACAATCCCCCATTTACTCAAACATCACAGGCCTGGTCCTCATCCGCGTACACAAGTACCGAAGTGACTTCGCAAACATCATCCGCGCTTCCAGCAGTAATCTCAGCAAATCCCGCTTCCTCCGCCTCTTCTTCCTCGCCCTGTCAATGCTCATCTGCATCCTCCCACTACAAGGATACGTCGTCTACAACGACATCCTCCTCTCCCTCCCTTGGCACTCCTACTCTTGGGGCGAGATCCACAACGGAGACAAATGGCACACCATCGCCAAATACCCCATCGATGGCGCCGTCTTCTTCGACCGCTGGACTCCCGTCGCATCAGGCTTCATGATCTTCATCTTCTTCGGCTTCGGCCACGACGCAGCACGCATGTACCGCACAGTCTTCTGGTACCTCGGATTGAGCTACTGCTTCCCGTGCATCGAACCCCCAACAGATACACACAGCACGCCGTCTCCCGGGCACATTTCAACAGCAACCACTCTCGTCGGGAGTATCGGCTCCCGTGCTAGATCGCTGTTCTCTCGCCAGAAGGAATCCGTCGTCACGTTTATCTCGACGCATGGCACTTACAACGACCTTGAAAAGGGCACCTTTTCGCAGTTGTCTCGCCATAGCTCTGGAAAATTGACCAAGAAGTCTCGATGGAGTAGCTTGCCCTGGTCGCTATTTAACAGACGTCAGACTCGTCAGGATATTGATGGGACACTGTTAACTGACCTCGCCCGTCCCTCGCAGACTGTATGCACGAATGCCTGGGCTAGTCGTGATAGTCGGGAGTTGTCTAGTGAGCCTATTTCGCCGGAGCTTAATAAGGACTTCATTCATGTGCGGCAGGTTATCAGCCAACAGAGTGAGGTTAGGGTTCAGGTCTAGTGGCTTGTCCTTTTTTCCGGTTTGTATCTGGGATTTCAACGGCTTGTTGCAGGTTTCTAATCTTGTCTTTGCGTTGGTCTGGGATCATGGGATTCTGTACATCAGAGTAGTACTTAAGTATCATAATACATAATTGGTTGCGATGTCCGTGGCTCTCGTGAAAAATGAAAAGGAAAAATGGAAGTGTTTGAATATGTCCCTTAGTACACATTCAATGTTCCCTTGTATCTGTGTAGGTAGGATTAACGGAGAACCATTATATATCTCGAGTTACCGAAGTCATAGTAGTTACTAACTAGTCTGCGAGTTAGTGGTAAGTAAGCTGGCATAGACTTTGTAAGCCTCTGCGCGTATAAAATAATAAGTCGTAGGTTGAATCTGAAGAGCCAATAATCCTGACGGATACCTAGATATATATTACGCCACATGCTACCAAGATCGAATCCATCCACTACAAAACGAAGTGTATTCAGGGTATAATCGTACAAAACTATAATCACACCGCAAAAGAGGATTCAGTCAACCTCACCAGCCCCAAAATGAAACCAGCGACAAATTCAGATTGATACAGAGCTCCGACGAAGCCATTTAGTGAGACTCGTCATGGCCACCGTTCTCGGGGCGCTTCAGAACCTCAAGAGTGCCTAGAAAAGGGTTAGACTGAACCTTGGGTTTTCTCTTATCCCCGAAGAGTGGGAGCAAATTAAGAACAGGGAAATCGACATACGCTGCACAATGTTCAGAGCGGACCGGGTCTGGCCATCGGAATCTTCCCAAGTGGCCATCTTAGCATCGCCTTCGACGTACAGAAGAGTTCTGCGGGAGAGAAGTTAGCTTATCTGCACCATGCTCAAGCGCAATTTTGCTGCAGTGGCGCAAATGGACAGGAGGGAATTGCGCAGTTCAATCCCGTATCCCAATCCCTACTGCCCAACCACGAACATGACATGAAGGAACGGGGTCCTATCCAAAGGTGCATCGCTTGACCGCCAAAGCCACGTCATATGTCCAGCAGGCCCGCACGATCTTCATGCAGCCTTCAAGCGCGAGCACTCGCTCTCGCTCTCCATCTGTATAGACCCTGCGCGTCTGCCGGGCCCAACTGGCACGAGATAGCAACGACACACCCAACAGACAAGACGCAATCCAAATACGCAATATCATGTCCTGCATAATCCAGCAAAGTATCGAGATATCGACTTACCCCTTCTGCAAGCCAAGGACGAAATCGCGCTGGGGTCCCTCGGGGACGAAGTTCGTGATGCGCCACCAGCTGGTCTGGCGGTTATCGCGGTTGCCGTGGGAAGTAGCGATGTTGTACTTGACGATCTCCTGGCCGGAGGAGGTGGCTTGGAGCTCGGGCTCTGCGCCGAGGCGGCCGGTGAGGGTCAACCGGGCGATGGAGTGGGCGGGCGAGGAGCTGAAGGCGCGGGCGGTGTGGGGGGCACCAGCCATGCGCATGGCTGGGCGCAGAGAGGAAAGGAATGCGGACATGGTTGGATGGAGGATGTGTGAATTATGATTTACAGTGAGGATAGATCGAGACTTGTTTTGGCATTGTTGATAAGTGTCGATCATGACACGTGATCTGGATACGGCCTACCGCTTTCAGATGTGATATGGCATAAACACGTAGGATAGTTTATATTATATTTATTATTTAGCGGTTGAAGCAGGGCACTTGGTTGCAATTGAGATTTTGAAAATGGAATTGGGTACAAAGTGGTCATTTTGGCCAAGCTCATCAGCTCATGCTAGAGAGCTATCTATAGCTCTACCCCGGAGTCCCCTGGTGCAGGGTTCTATCGGGTACAGACAACGATGAGCTTCATAATTATAAATCCAACGTATCATGTCCCGAGGCAAGAAGAAAAGCAAGGAACAAAAAAGAAAAGAAAAGAAATGCAAATCAAACGAGCCTATTTTGTAACTCTATTATTATGAAATCCTTCATATGCCAACGTGAATGCCAACGCGAGGGTATATATTTTTTACCCAAAAAAAAAACCTAACAGAGCCTGATCACGTCACAATCCATCACATCCGACTGTCCCGCGAAGATACAAGTGCAATTGTCCACGGCACACCAAACTGGAAATGGCAGCCGATAAGCAGATCCAGGGGGGGCAGATCCCAGTGGAGGTGCTGCAATACCGCTGATTGATTGAACCAGACCGAAGATAAATTAAGATACTGTTGTCTCAGATGCACTCCTTACGTGGTTAATTAGCGGCCCAACCACGTCGCTGCAGGGGCGTTTGCGAGGCGTCAACAATGGCTAACACGGCCTGGACCTGCAGGCATTGCAGGCATTGCAGGCATTACAGGACAATGGTGAGATTGGTCAGCTCAAAAGTCAAAGTTAAAGTCATATTGGAGAAATTGTCAAATTGGTCGAATTTGCAGAATAGTAGATCGACTGTAGCCATAGCGCGGCGCCACCCGTGGAGACTGAGAGTGGTCTGTTTAGGGCTAGTTTTTTCTAGTTCGGGGACTATAAACTTGAATATCAAGGCCAGTGAACTGTCGCTTAAATGCGAGGGATGATATGACAGCTCACACTTGGATCTGTATTATGTTCGAGAAAAAGAATTTTAAAAAAATACAATAGTCCCAAGAGCCCGCAAAAAGACGACGTTTCATGGTTGAATGGCAATATTCGCCTAAAAAAGACAATTAAGCCACAATATGGAGACTCGAGGATCATTTCTCTCTCTCTTTGGTCCGTGCAAGTGGTGCTAGTCCGAGTTGATAAACTAGATCGTCAATTTGCTCGATCGGTGGAGACCAAATAGATAGCTCAGGTACGATCGGGTCTTATTCTCTTTCCTCGATACGGCTTCCCTCTGTGCGAATAAAAACTCAAATGCGAAATGAGCTGATCTCCCACTCCTTTTTATATGTAGGGAGGTTTAGGGCTGTCTCCGGTTGTTCTTTTTTTCTTCTTTTTTACCACAATGAGTCTCTGACGCCACGTCAATTAATTCCTTTTTTCATTGTTAATTATTAATATTCGTGTACCCCTGTCTGCATTTCGCGCGTGAACCGTGTGACTAGCATCGGATATGTGAAGAGTGTGCTGGTCTTACAATAACCAAGGACATTTCTCTACGGAGATCAATTGCATTTTGCGTTTGAAAACAATCAAGATGCGGTGGTCTTTGCTATTCACTTTAATAGTATCCCTATTCCTATTGGGGACATTGGCAGCGCCGGCTTCGGGCCCACGACGTGATGAAGTCACCAATCTTGAGGCCAGACAGGAGAAGGAAGCCAATCTTGAGGCCAGACAGGAGAAGGAAGCCAATCCTACAACCAGCGATGCTGAGACGGCAACTCAAACAGATGTATCAAAAACAGTAACCGATGCGTCAACAGCCGCCGAGGCCACAGCGACAGGCAGTACTGCCTCGACCACTACTCTAACGCATGCCACAACCAATGCTACGACCACTACTTCTGCCGCTTCCGCCACCTCGACTGTGCCCTCGCTCGATGGAACAACTGCATCTTCTGAGCAGGATGCGGCAGACTCCGCTAGGCCAACCTACTCTGGTGGTCTGCCAATCAAACCGACAATCACGCCGGCATGGGGTGTTGGGGGATTTATACTAATAGCTCTCGGAGCCGTGCTCACTTTCATTGGTGTCCGCAAACAATGGTATCCAAGGTTCGATTCTTGAATGGTAATAACATTTTACTAACAAAGAAAAGGGTGCAAATCTTCCTGTCAACCGGATTCCTTAGCGCATTGGGAGTTACCGTAAGTTATATACTCGAAAGATATTAAACAAAACTGACCTCCATACAGGTCCTTATTATTTATGTAATGAGCCCACCGGTAAGCAACGCCGTTCAGGGGGGCTATCTCGTCGCCGTCTTCTTCACCGGTGCAGTATTCGGTGGTCTATCACTTGTCTTCAGAGAAATCTGCGAAGGACTGGGCTGTCTTCTGGGCGGTTTCTGTCTGAGTATGTGGTTCCTTGCGTTGAAAGCTGGCGGTCTTCTAAGCGAAGGTGGCCCCAGGGCTGGCATGATCATTGCTTTTACTGTGGGATTCTATTCCCTCTCATTTAGCCACTATACAAGACCGTACGGGCTGATCGGATGCACGTCGTTCTCCGGTGCAACTGCCATGGTCATTGGAATCGATTGCTACAGCAGAGCTGGGCTGAAAGAGTTCTGGTTATATATATGGGGTAAGTCTAACATTTTGCATTTTGTGTTCAAACTGTTCCTAGTTGCTGACGGACCCCAGGATTGAACCAAAATGTCTTCCCTCTCAGAACGGACACTTACCCCGTGACGCGTGGTATTCGTGTTGAGCTCGCTGCGACTATAATCATTTCCGTTCTGGGGGTGATCTCCCAGGTCAGACTTTGGAATCTCATCAAGGAGCGCAGGGCCAAGGAAGAAGATTCCCGCCGGGCACACACCCGAAAGATCGAAGAAGAAGATGCCGAAGCCGGTCGCCGCCTCGAGGAAAAGAATATCCAAGAGCGCGCCGAATGGGAACTCATTTACGGAAACGGAAAGCCTGCGGATGGCAAAGCCGTTTCGGTTTCGGAGACTGCTGTCGGTGATTCGCGACGGGGCTCGGATGGATTCGAGTCCTCTGACAACGACAAGGAGAGGGAGATTGAGCTCAAGGACATGCCGAGCCCCGATGCTTCTGGTAGTGCCTCTGACGGCGGGAAGAACCGTCAGGGTGAAGACGATCGCGAACTAGAAGCTGTGCCGGAGGAGGATCCATCCCAGCAGGGACAGTCACGAGATGCAGATAAGGAAAAGGATGCCGAGAAGGAGGGTCAATCTGAAGGAAAGACCCCAAGACCTACTACACCTGTTGTTACTCATGTCCTTGGCGAGGTCAACGATGACTGCTCTGAGAACGGTGCTGACATCGGCTCGGAGGTTGGTACGCCGCGCTCGAAACGGTTCTCTGGCAGAGAAATGTTGAACCGGCTCTCCTGGCGGAACAGCAATGGTGTGATGACTGCTTCACAATCCCAGGAGAATCTGGTGAACCACGATGATGCCAATTCTTCCGTATTGGGAGTTGTGGATGATCTCCATGAGATGAGCGCCGGCTGCCCAAGTGTTATCTCGGATGCGGATGTTCACGATCGCGTTGAGCCAACGCAGCCAACGCAGCAAGAAACTAGCACCGCCGAGCTAGCACCAGAGAAGGACTCGACAGATGTGGAGATCAAGTCAAATGCCGGTCCACAAGCGGTCCCAGATGTTGAACCCCGTGTTGATACGGCTATAGCCCAAAAGGACGTTGAGAAAGTGAGTACCAAAGAAATCACTGTCAGCGACACTGTTCCGCAAGTGACACCCGTCGAGAGCACTGTTGTTGCCCACTGTCCTTCGGAGAAGCCCGGGATTTCCCAAGTGTCGGAGAAGCCTCAATCGCCAGAAGCCCCCGCAACAGATGTCCAAGCCGACACTCCAGGTGCTTCAAGGAAGACCGAAGAATTCAAGTCCGAGGCTACATTGGAGCCGTCACCTCTGAGCGATGCAGAAAGGGAAACGGTGAAAGAGGTCAATGAAGACCAACCTCCTACTAAAACCATCAAACCCGAGTCCATTCCTGAATCGAGTGTTGTATCTTTGCCCGAGCCCAAGGGTGAGCAAAAGATCAAAGTGCTCAAGAAACTGGACGCATCAACCGTCAAATGCATCCCCGAGCAAACATCACGAGTGATCCATTCGTACCGCACGAACGAATGGGCCAAGCACCTCGCAGATGCCGACACCCCTGAGATGGAGCCGATCGAGTTCGAACCTGAACCTGAAGCAGAATACACAGAGGAAATTCAAGAGACTGCAGCATTTGTTGATGTAGGCGGTCTTCTCCAGACGCCTCTTACTGCACAACCACCACCAATTGTGAACAGGCCTGAATCCAATGGTATGGACAATCAACCACCCGTCTATATTTCATCGGTACCCTCGCCAGATATTCCGCAATCCAAGACACGGACCGGCGCGCAAGGTCTCACCACAGCGAAGCCAACTTTAATCCGCAATGACTCGACAGCTTCGGTCAACGTGCTACGTTCAGCATCTGGCCCACTTCCAACCCTGGAATCGGGATTGAGGTCGATCCGCAATACATCGACTCCCCTGTTGACGATCACTACTCCCAACGAGCCCAAAGAAACGGAGCCATCACCACGCTGGAACGGGCCGCCTCCCCTCCTCGCAGTCCGCGAGGACATGGTCCGAAACCGCATGTCCTCAACATCCAACCGCTTCGATCCCTGGGCTGCACGCAACCTCTCCCACCAGTCCCTGCCTGAAATGACGCCCGTCGTCTCCCCAGTTTCACCGCCGCTCTCCATCCCCGAAGAAAGGGGGGTAGAACGCCAAGCCCAACCGAACGAGGATGACATCCCACTTTCAAAGCGGCGCGCCCTACTACAGCGCCAGACAGCGCAGTCCCCTGCAACAAGCCCTCACAACCTCGAGGCTGCCCCATTTTCTTTGTATCCCCAACCAGCTCCCACTGCCGAACTGAACCTGTCTGCTTCAAGAATGGCAGTGTGGCGACAGTCGGTCCGCGAGGAAATCGCCCAAAAGCGAGATCCTTTGGCCCTCCAGTCCCCGCCCATCAGCCCAGCCAGCCCTCTGGACCGGCCGCGCAGTGCATGGAACTCTGTTCAGCAGATGCGCGAGGCCTCGTCTACTCAGATAGGCGATGCCATCGCAGATGGCATGCAGCGTGGCAGCATGACGGATCTACACCGTCAGGCAATGCGTCGTATGCAAGCTTCGGCGAATCGACAACTGTAGTGCCCAGTCATGGCTCATTCATTTTACTCGATACCCTTTGATTTGTGCTCTTTATTTTATTTTATTATATATAACTAGGTGTTGTTATTACACGCCATGGGGGATGTGTCTTTCCCACGACTTTATGAAGTACCTATTGCATCAATGTCTATAATCCTTATTTGCTAATGTATATTTCGCTCAATGTCTAAACAAGTTCCATGCAGTAAATAAAACGGCCTTACTGGGCACTGCCAAGACTTGGACTGAGATTAAATGCAGTTCGTCATAATAGAACAATAGTACCTCTATTAGCCTTTGCTGTGTGCATACTATACTCAATTAAAGTAGCAGAAGGCAAGTAGGCTGTAAGAAACGGCCGCAAATGAGGCCGTTCTTGACCGTCGATTTGCCGGTGTTTTGCCGCTGAACTTGATAAACTACTGGGTGGATATCTGTCAAAAAGCAAGCTTTGAATTCAACTTCCTAATAATACATGTAGCGACAACGCTCAGGCTTCCAGAAAGACATAGCGGCAGCACGCAGCGAGATCCTCAGCCGTGAATGTAATATTTCTTTCCCCCGTGTTAGGGGCCGGCCGGCGGCGCATGACGGATTCGAAATCAAGTTCCAGCGGAGCATTCTGAACATCTGTCGAGGTAATGACGATCTCTTTATCCACTAGATGAAGTTGTAGCACTGTTCGGGAGTCTGTTTGAGATGGCGGAGGCGGAGGCGCAGATAGTAGAATGCGCCGGACATCTGCCTGTAGTCCACGCGTGATTCTTGGGTTTGTAGGTTCGAGATGGTAGAGTTTTATAACGACTCTACGCTCAGGGGATCTCCGGATGCGAAATAGTATGACTGTATTGACTTGGTGGCCGGAATTTGAGAACCACCAATGTGCATCAGCTCGTAGTTGTGCTTCTGATTCAGAAAGACCAGTTTCAATAACGAGCGAAGGCCAGTTGTCATCGTTGAAAGGATTCCCTGATGGAGTAAGAGACTCGTCAGCTTCTTTATCGCATGTTCTTCCGTGGTATCGGGTAGCCGTGTTCATAGTGTAATCGTCTGGATCAATCCCCATATTAAGTAACTTCGCGACGAGTTTGTTTGAAAATGACCGCGTGACTCGCTCATGAGATCCTGATGGGATTATTCGAATGACCCCTTGCTGGTGCTGTGTGTCGAGTGTTAATCTGTAGGGCACTTCAAGGGGGTTTCGATCTCCAGCTATTAGCTCTTGCACTTGTCGGGATATGTTTAACACGATGATAAACTGGTTCGAGTAAGACGTGTCGGAGTTGATTCGATGATAGACATCGTTTGCAGTTTCTCGAAGGATAGAAATAGAAGGGGCAGATAACACTGAAGCACCCGGGATTTCGAATGGCAGGTGCGAATAACAGACACCCGCTACCTCGACCTTGGCCTGCGAGGTTCGAGGCGCAACATCTGGCTCAGTCCTATCGAGGGACTTCGCCGAGTCGCCGTCCTTTGCAGCTAAGGAAGAGGAAACTGTGGATAATGGCGGAGACAGCATATTGGCTAAACAGTGGTGGATAGAAGATGAGGCAGAAGAAGAGAAGTGAGAAGGCTATTAACAAAAGGGGACTATTAGTTAGTAGTATAGTTAGTATTAATGGAGGGGATGATACGTTATCGATAAGAGTGGCAGAATTACCCTACGGGACATGATCATGTGACGTATGTATAGGGCAGGCGGTCAGTAGGAGGGTGCCGTTGTGTAAAATAATAAAGTCCGAGGATGAAACAAGGGATGGATTAATCACAGTGAAAGCTATAAACGACTTGCATATATATTATCGTATTATTGGATATGTTGTATCCCTTTCGAGGGTAACTTTGATATAAGATATAAGGTCCTTTTTATCCAATTCCCAATTTCTGTCATCTATTTAGCCAGAGTCCAGATTTTGTATACGCCAAGCAAGCTTCTTCTATACTAAGGATTTAGAAAAGATCCTCAAATTTCAGCTCCGGCAAATTCGCATCTTTTCTTTTTCCTTTCTGTTCCTAATCTTATTCACTCATTTGTCGCATGTCCTCCATATAGGGCTTTTTTTCTTGGCCGATCTCTCCATCTCCGCTCCAATTCCCCCCTCTCTCCTTTCTCCCCTCAAAACGGCGTCCTTAAAACCCCAACCTCTGTCGAGGGAGGAAGAAGCATTCTGTTACCCACGCGGCCAACACTTATTACGTCCTCCAGTCAATCGCGCACCCGTGGAGTCAACTCCGTCCTTCGTTCGCGCCCAGCGGCGACAGTGCGTCCCGATCTCAGGCCCGTCGTTGCTGCTTCGCCCACCAGCAGTCCGACTCGCAAACCCAGTCAACTACGTCCCACGAATAACCCCAATAACCGTCCACCCACATCGATCCGACGAGAGTCTCCCACTCGGCTTCAACCACTCACGCGACGCCCATCCCCTCCTCAGCGTCCCAGAGCGACGCCGCAGCCGCCTAACCCCATCCCCGAGCAGCCTACTCGTCGAGCGCAGCCAGGGGGAAACAGAAAGTGGCCGGACTAGCATTGCTTTGCCCCCACGACATCGTCGCAGCGAAGACTTCGCCCGCACAGAAATGGCGTTCGTGGGCAGCGGAGCGCGGGAAACCGAGAACCTGCGCCCTCCCGAAGCTGTCCATCTCACGCAGAACGGAACTCGTCAGAACGACCGTGCGCGCTACGCTCAGTCACAGACCTCCCTTCGCTCCCAGTCCCAGGTCGCTTCTGTCCCCTCCAATACCGGTCTCCCGCCCGCTGATGTCGCCGAGGAACTTGCTTGGGGCCCGGCTCACCCCTGTTTCCCGCATATTAATCCCCATGTACCTATCGGGTCGCGGGAGCATATGACAACGCGTGTGGTTCGTATCCGGCGCGATTGGATGATTAAGGGTGATTTGGCGCCGACGTTTTCGAATCTGTATCCTGAGATTCTTGATCCGTTGTTGTCGGAGCAGGAGTTTCGGAGGGTGATTTCTACCGTTAATGATGGTATTATCAAGGCATTTGATCCGTTCAGTCTTCGGAATTGGTTTGACGGCGTGCTGGGCTTGTTGACTGGCTGGGTATGGGATGATCTCAATGCCCCCGGGGCAAAAAGCCAGTTGCAGCATGTTGAGGCTTGGTTGGAGAATTGGAACCGCGAGGTCGGCGCCAAGGATGGTGTCCATATTTGGAGCTTGAGACGGACAGCGTATATGTCACTTGATATCCAGATTCCCGATCCCAAGGTTGGCATTGTACCCAGTGAGGCACCTTCGGCTCCTAATACTAGGCCGAGTACTGGTATTGGGGCTGGATCTTGATGGGCTTTTGTCGGGCTGGCGTGCGCCGTTTTTCGTTTGCTTTCTGATTGTACATCTTTGTGATTTGTTCCCTTCCTGGGACGCCTGCATGATATCCATCCCGCGGCAGTTTTTTCGACCCCGAATCTTTCCTTATATACCTTTGCCTTTCGAGTCGGGAGTTTTCTTTTACTCTTTTTGTGATTTGATACCTTTCTTTTTTATATTTCTTCTGTCAGCTACGTCTACATATCTCTGTTGATTCCCCTAGGGGCTACTTTACCCTGATCTCTTATTGTCTTCATGACCATGCCTCTTTGTCCATATCTGGCTGTCATATTCTCACCTTTAGACTTAACATTCCGAAAAAGAATCACATTGCGGATTTGATTTGTCCGCTTTAATGCTCCACGTTGATGTTTAATAGAAGTAAACCAGCCCATGGTCTATATGATACTTATATATTGATCATTCATGCAAGTCAGTGTTTGTTTTGCCTGCATAAAAATCGCCTTCTCCGGCAGTTTCTAGTATCCACCTCGACAACCCATACATGGGTCTCTCCTGCGTTCGGTTCACGGCATCGAATTATGCAATGCATGACCTACTTGGCCTATCTGACACATCCGAAAGCCAGCACAGGCTGTTCAGGCAACTCCTGGTATCAACTGGGCTGAGTTTGGAATGAATATGACATGAAAACTCCAACACAACCCATGGATTGATTAGCTTCATTCTAAAACTTATACTCGTCGACAGCGAGCATATCGGATATAAGATCCGCTTGCCACTGTAAAATATCCACTTCCCGATACTATAGCCAGCTGCGCCCCAGTCTTTAATTCCGGCCACAACATTGCCGTTCACTGTGTTACTGTTATGAAAATCGTCATCCATTTTGGCTAGAATAACTTGAGAGTTGGTTAGACAGACAGACCCCTGTTCAGTTCTACCATTTATTAAGTAAATCCTTGTAGAATGATACGTTGCATGCAAGAGGTGCACGGTATCACATTTGTTGTGGAGGCTACGCCCACTATCTATTGTACTAGTTTCTGAGCCCTGTCAGCAGCAAAAGAACGGATATGAACGTATCTTTGAAAATAGGATCAGACTACTCCTGGAAGTCTGTGAAGCAATTCAATTGCTTCAATTAAGCTCTGGCTCTTGACTGACCGTGGTGTCGATCTAGTAGATTTTATAGCTCAGGTAGTGACTACGCCAGATTCGCGATGCCACCAAACTGGGCCCTGTCTAGCAAATGCACTTGGCACAAGTAATAGGGAAGCCGTGGGCGACAGTCTACTGTTCTTGACTTTCGGTGGGATTAAAACGAGCCCTTTGGCCGAGGAGTATAGTTTGGTATTTATGCTGTACAAACTGGAAGTTGGTTCCAGCAGAACCCTGGCTTAGTTCGTGTCTTTGTTAATGAGCTAGAAGTCAAGCTGTGATGACCAGCAGGTCGACTGGGGTTTCAAGAATCGTGGAAAGGGAAAAAAGAGCTCACTGATGATTTAACACAACGGTAGTCAAGTAGTCAATGGAAGTGGTACCTCTTATACCTCAGGCGGTGTCGATCCACCCCACACCCCTGTTTCCGCAGCTCAACTCCATCCCCAGGAGCAACTCGACTAACCACAAACAATATGCTCTCGGGGATCCTCATATTCAATCAAAAGGGCGAAAATCTCATTTTTCGCGCCTTCCGCAGCGACTGCCGCCCTCGCCTAGCCGACATCTTCCGCATTCAAGTCATCTCCAATCCCCAGGTGCGCTCGCCGATCCTGACCTTAGGCTCGACGACCTTCAGCCATGTTAAGCACGAGAACATCTACTTGGTAGCTGTCACCAAGAGCAATGCCAATGCCGCGCTGGTTTTCGAATTCCTCTACCGGCTGATCATGCTGGGGAAGAGCTATTTTGGGAAGCTCGACGAGGAGGCCGTGAAGAATAATTTCGTCCTGATTTACGAACTGCTTGATGGTAAGATGTGGAAAAGGTCCAATGGCTTAAAAACAGACCCTAACAATTGATGATACAGAAATCCTCGACTTCGGATACCCCCAGAACACCGATCCAGATACCCTGAAAATGTACATCACCACCGAAGGCGTCAAATCCGCTATCGCCAACAACCCAACAGACTCCTCCCGAATCACCCAACAAGCAACAGGCGCCCTCTCCTGGCGCCGCTCCGACATAAAATACCGCAAAAACGAAGCCTTCGTCGACGTAATCGAAGACGTCAACCTCCTGATGTCCGCAACAGGCACCGTCCTCCGCGCCGACGTCAACGGCCAGATCGTCATGCGCGCCTACCTAACCGGTACCCCAGAATGCAAATTCGGTCTGAACGACCGTCTTCTCTTAGACACCGGCGAGACCTCCAACGGCATGAACAACCCCGGCGGCGGCAACGGACTCGGCACATCGAAGGCAACGCGCGCTGCGGCAGGTTCCGTCACGCTGGAAGACTGCCAGTTCCACCAATGCGTGAAGCTGGGACGGTTCGATGCAGACCGCATCATCTCCTTCGTCCCGCCGGACGGCGAGTTCGAGCTGATGCGCTACCGCGCCACCGAGAACGTCAACTTGCCCTTCAAGGTGCACCCGATTGTGCGCGAGATCGGTACTACAAAGGTCGAATACAGCGTTGCGATCAAGGCGAATTATAGCTCCAAGCTCTTCGCTACGAATGTTGTTATTCGCATCCCCACGCCGCTTAATACTGCCAAGACTACGGAACGCACGAGCCAGGGCCGCGCCAAGTATGAGCCTGAGCAGAACAATATTGTCTGGAAGATCGCGCGCTTTTCCGGACAGTCGGAATATGTGCTTAATGCCGAGGCAACGCTTACTACTATGACGCATCAGAAGGCTTGGAGTCGCCCGCCGATGAGTCTTTCGTTCAGTTTGCTTATGTTTACCTCTTCTGGCTTGCTGGTGCGCTATCTTAAGGTCTTTGAGAAGAATAACTATAGCTCTGTCAAGTGGGTGCGCTACATGACTCGCGCGGGGAGCTACGAGATTCGGTATGTGTTTTATCTTTCCGCTGGTGGTTTTTGTGGCTGACTCAATTGCTTTCATTTAGGTTCTGATCATTCTCGAAATTCCGAGATGATTTTGTCTCGTGTGGGAGAAGATTCCAACGAACAGTGTTGATATCAATGGACTTCGGTCCGGTTTCGTCTTGTTATTTGTACTTTGCGCAGCACAACGGGTGTCTGGCGTTAGATGGAGCCACATACATACTGGATTTTTCACAAGTATCCAATTTTTCATTTCTCGTACCTCGAATCTATGCTGGTAGGTGGGTTTTAGGTTGATAATCAGGAGGTGTAGTACCATGGCAAGGGTTGAAGTTATGACATCTTTTCACTCGGCTCTAGGTATACCCATCCTAGGCCGCATGTGGTCATATAAAATGGCTCCACCGATCACACTAAGAGAGCTAGATAATCAAAGCCATACAGCTACGATGTGATGATTGCAACAGTAGCATCCATTGAGCAATTGTCAAATTTTACTACTATCTTATGGTTTTTAGAGGAATAGATGATGAAAAATGTGTCAAGTTGGTAGTAGTAGATAGTAGTACATTCCCCAACGAGCAAAAGTCAAAGCCCAAGAGGGAAAAAAATAACAGATGTGGAAGGGTAAATCACACAAAAGAACAGTATATGAGCAGGAAAAGAAGCACAAAGCATATTCACATTAGCCCGCGTAGAACGGAACACACAACACCGGACAAAATAAACAAAACAAGCAATTTGTGCTCTCCAATAGATAACAAACCGAAAGGGGAAAAAATGTGCGAGTCTCACAAATACAAGAAGTTATGATAATACAGGGGTGTTTTGGCAAAGAAATCAAGGCCAAGTCAGGCCAATAGGAACAGGGTGAGTCATAGGGTACAGAGATCATATCATACATTAATAAAAGAGGGCAATTGCAAGAAGCAATGTTCAACGCCAACGCGGGCGCAGGCCGACACGACCCTCGCCAACGAGGGACTGCCACCTGGGCCCGACGTGGCTGCGACCCATCTGGCGCGCGCACTCATCCCATTCTTGTTGCGAGAGACGGAATTTCTCGAGGACCAGCTCGATAAGATGTTGGTCTTCTTCGGCGGTCCAGTCTTGTGGGGCCGAAGGTGCACATTCTTCTGTTACCTCGATGGAGGGTAGAGGCGCGTCTGGGTTGACGCGTGGGCCAGCTGAGATGTCGTAGTCCATCTGGCGACGAGCCGAGGGAGGGGATTGGGTGATAGGAGGAGAGTGTAGGGAGTAAAAGTCTGTGGAGGCAAGTCCGAGAGGAATATTGTAGGGAACGTGACAGCGGCGTTTGGGAGTCGCGAAGCGGTTGCGCCGGCTCATCTCCGCGTCGCTGTCATCGTCATCGAGGATGTCGCGGCGGCGCTTGTTTGCGCCGCGCGCGGGTGCAGATGGAGGAGGCGGGGGTGTGAGAGCGGCGGTTCTGGGTGGTGGTGTTTGTCTAGGAGAGACGGGTCGCGCGGCCTTGTGCGATCGTGGCGAGCGACGGGGTGTGTTAAAGGGAAGAGGGCTCTGGAGGCGTTGGGTTTTCACTGAGCGGGATGAAGGTGTGGGCGATCTGTTGAGTAGAGATTGTAGTGCACGGCAGGTGCCGAGGAGGCCGTTGCCCGATGAATATCCTGTGTCGGATGGGGGAGGTGTTGAGAATAGGCGACTGGGAGTGAAGCGAGACGACCGGCGCACATCGCATGGAAGGGCGGATGGGAGCAGCATGATTGAAAATGTAAATTTAATGCGCGATTTGAGTGATTTGCAGTTGGTTTGAAGATGAAATATATCAAAGAAAGAGTCAACGTCGAGTTGTTGCGCGTTGGCGCGATTTGTGGGTAGGCTGCGATTGCGCCGGAGGCGGTTGCGATGCGCGACGAGGGAGTTGGGGATGCGAAAATGAATGGATGATCTTGTCGTTGAAATGCGCTTCGATTTCCACCTTTCCCGAGGGATGCGACAGCAAGTTGGTGATATGGA